TATTCGTTTTTGCTCTTTCTGAACCGAGCGACATCACTTTCATGCCAATTCATTAACTTTTTTGAAGGTGGGAGGGTCCCTTTAAACATCATTCGTAGACCTAAACGTGCTACCACATTCGTGCAGTACTGGTCAAGAATATTGTCAATAAGCCCCTTCTTAGCCGCTAAGCTCTAAGCCCTTCTTACCATCCCCATGTGTCACATGGGGACACTGCAGGGCGTCTGAGACGCCCCAGTGGAATTGTGAATTTATAAGTGGTGTTTGGGATGGGGATAAGGATAAGGATGACTGGGAGAAGGATGAGGATGTAGAGTGGGTAAAGGATGGGTGTAAGAATGGATTCAGGCCCGCCTACTGGCTGTTGTGGTAGCTTCTGCTAATAGGTATTCCTCGTGTGTCTAGGGGTATTCTAATCTGTGTCATCTGCACAATCCTATCATCGTTGTCTAGGGGTATCGTCTTACTCTCAACAATCATTTAACCGTCTATAGTTGTATTTACTGATCGACCAAAAACTATGCGAGCCACAAACCCTTTCGTGTCCGAATCTTCATATTGCCAGCGTTCTCACCGACATTTCCAGCCTCGAAAAAGAACGGAGTAAGATATACATATTAAATATGTATTGAAAATGAAAAGGCCGAAATAAATAAAAGCGAACAAATCAAACATGAGGTGCCAGAAAACGAGCAATGTCACGGTAACCGTGCACTGCCGAAGTAAATATTGCCAAAGTGCCGAAACATTCAATAAAGCCGAAACAATGATCAAGCTGAAATCATGATACCGAAATAATATTGCCAAAGGGGGGGGGGAAACTGACTCATAGCAGCCAAACGTGCCGAAATGGACTGAGTCGAGTCCCGAAACACGGTGTCTCAAAAAGACATATAGACCAATCAATCGAACTTAAAAACTGCCCACAGTACCGCGGCCATCCTGAAGTGTTGTTACCTACGCCAGTGTGACTATATGTGCGTGTCTGTGCCTGAGACATATCTCCGACCGCAGCAGAGACTCAACCGAAGTCAGGCTCTAACCCTTTCACTCCGCCGGTCGGAACCAGTGGCGTGGATAGGGCTTGGCAAGAGTCCGGTTAGAGACGTCCGACTGGGCAGGAGATAAGGCCCAAGAACTTACATGTTTGTAGACCAGACCAGACGCACAAGGCGACCACCACGGGCGGCGTCGGGACCACCACTGCCCGCGCGAACCAGAGAGCAAGAGCCCGAGAGAGAGAGAGAGAGCCCCAGAAGGTCTCAAACGCGCCTATTTATACCTTCGCACATTCACCGCACAGCGCCGCGCCCGTCTCTAGCCCGTGCCGTCTCGGGGCTGGCGCGGCCGGCGATCGGCGCCATGGTATTTCTATATAGCATTCACATATCTTACCAATTGTCATATCGCAATATTCTAATCTACCACCACCATGGTGCAATGTAGCATCATTATCCGCTCCCTATCGAGTATCGAACAATGCACAACAATCTGTACCGGTGTTCATACTACCCACAACGTTTAAACTACACATGCCGCCATCTGCAATTGCATATCTAAATACCGTCACCGCTATTGCCGCAAGTATGTCAAAATAACATGTCGCTGCGTAACATTCAGGTCAACGCACCATCACTCCAATCAGTGTGCCGTGCTTTGTGTGTCGCGTATCTGAACAGCCACGCCGTAGTTATCGCTCGGGCATAACCATGTACCTTCTAAATGTGTATTCCTCATCACCCTTCCTGATGTTGATACTACGAAACTCACTCGATGTCTTGTTGCTGCAAAAGTACCGATGCATTGCGCCAGCTGTCCCTATTTCCGACTGTCTATCCACTGCGCGACTGCCTATCTGGAATATTTTTGTTACACTGTTTTAATAACGGTATATCGCCATTTCACGGCTCGCATAATTAATCGTTAGACGGGGTACCTTCATCTCACATTCCCTCGATGACCGCGAAAGCAACACCTCGGTCGTTCGGTTTGTCTCTCAGTTCATACTTGTGCAGAAGTAGGTGTGCAGAAGATACGAGTTGAGTTGATAAGGAATCGGTCGCACCGAAGAGCCGGCATTGCTGCTTTGCATGTAGATCATGCACTGTCCATGGTCTGTCCGCTCCATTCCAGCCGAAGTACTGACAGCGCGCGCTCAGGGTCAGAGCTGAGCAGTGTACGACCCTCCCGCAACCGCGGGCTGCCGCTCGTTATCTGGCACCGATGTTGCAGCTGATTCTGATCGGCCATCACCTGTTGATAGCAGGATATGTGCACCGGAGCCAACAGCTGTGAACACAAGCATAGTCACCTTTTCCCCTCCCTGAGACCTGTTGATGAAATGGGGTAGGATAGATACGAAAGTTGATCATACTTTTTTCAACTGCCCTTTCTTTCAAGCTGTATATCCAAAAGCTACCTTGTGGTGTGCAGATAATACAGCGATGAAACCACACCAGGTGTACCTTTACTTCCTAAGGTTATGTAAATGCGTGGGCACGCCATCTCCTCGACGCGCTGAAACGCACAATGACCTCGCAGCGTCCGCGCTGGTCCGCGCCGCTCGCTTCTGGCCATGGGTCATGGAACTCTGGAAATGCGTAATTATGGAGATGCCCCTGGGGAGAGGCACTGCTCTTCTGCAGAGAGAGAGAGAGAGAGAGAGAGAGAGAGAGAGAGAGAGAGAGAGAGAGAGAGAGAGAGAGAGAGAGAGAGAGAGAGAGAGGGTGAGATAGAGAGACGGAGAGAGAGAGAGAGAGAGAGGGAGAGAGAGAGAGAGAGAGAGAGAGAGAGAGAGAGAGAGAGAGAGAGAGAGAGAGAGAGAGAAGGAGAGAACAAGCGTTCGTCTGTCATTCTGTCACTGTCTTTTGTTTCTCTGTTCCGTGAGGTGTGCTTTGCGTTTTGCCCTTATTGTACTCGCGATTATCTGCAGCCAGGAACCAATTTTCTCACATTCCTCCGTTTTTTATAACAAAATGATGATTACCACCTATGGGTTCTGAACCAATTTGCCTCTATGTACTCGTATTACCGCCAATGTGTTTTTGAACTAGCTTTTAAGACGATTCAATTAAATGACAATCGTGTCAAAATCGGTTGCTTCCACATGTCCACAGTCCAGTGTCCGACATCACCAAGCCATGACGATTCCGTCGCCCACGTCTATTGCCACGCCGTTTGACTGTTTTGGTTACCAGTACATGGCCCTAAGTAAAACAACATTTTCCACGAAATAATAGTTTTTATAACTATTGAACACAGACCTTCGGTCATGCCTACATGATAACGTCTGTTTCCTATTCGTTAGCCCCCGGCCTTCTTCGTCTCCCATTGCTGCACCAGAGCATGAATAATTTGATAACTGTAACGAAGCAATCCTTTCGACCACATAACCACACCATATCAAAGGTTAAATCTGACCTCTGAGGAAATTGAAGACTGGACGGTTGACCCGTTATCTTGTGCTGCGTACCGCATGTCATTCACCCACTGTCCGTTGGAAATTGGGCTGGAAGTCTGTTACTTCCATGAGTTACCTTTACTCGTACTGCTGTCCCTGTCGTTTGATTCCTCACGGGAGGGTTCTGTTATTGTGGTGTCGCGAGCTGCTCCCCCCCTGCCCCGGGGCCTGGCGACGCCAGTTGCTCCCCCCTGCCCGGGGGCCTGGCGACGCCATTGGCGGCGCCGGCGCGCAGACGCGGGGTTCGAGAGCAGTCGGCCGCCGGCCCGCGCGGAGCGCGGTTGTGGTAGTAGCGATCGGTGTTTGGCGCTCTAGGAAGTCTAACGCAATGCGGCTTTGGTTGTGAATAAAGAGCTCACGTTATAACATCCTGGCGACGAGGATCAGATCAAGGTGAAGCCTTGGAGCTGTGATTGCGAGTGATGGCGAAACGGGCCAGTGATCAGTGCGCGGTGGTCAGCGAGGGCGGACAGGCCACGGACGGTGAGGGCGCAAACGTTGCTTAGTACGAATGCTTAGTGCTTAGTATTGCTTAGTATTTTTATTTTCGCGCTGCTGCTGGTAGTGTGCCTGTCGCGCGGCGGCCGTTGTCCTGGCAGGGTTTCCCATGTGATCGCCGAAATTCGTGGCGGCCATGATGCCTCGGCAGTGTGGTGTGCGTGGCGCATGCGTCGGCGTCCTGCACGCTGATTGGTCGGCCGGGGGTGACGCGCAGCTGTGGTAGCGCGTGTGATTGGCCGATCGGTGCGGCGGAGAGGGCCTCAATGCGGTTTGAGGCGCCTGGTCCCCGAAGCGGGCAATTTCGGCGGGAAGCTGGCGCGCGGCCGGGCGGTGTGGGGCGAGTGCGCATGCGCGCGCGGTGACGTGCGTGTGACGTCACTACCACGTGACGCCCCCGTCGAGAAAAGCGCGGGAAACCGCAGCTGCAGCGCGAAGTACAGGCGCAGGGCGGCGCGGTGAGCGGTGACCGGTCGGCGTGAGCGGTGGCCGACCGGCGTGTGCGGTGACCGACCGGCGTGTGCGGTGACCGGCCGGTGTGAGCGGTGACCGGCCGGTGTGAGCGGTGACGCCCGGCTGCGGGCCGACCGGTGGAGCGGCTGCGGGCCGCCGGTGGAGCGGCTGCGGGCCGACGGTGGAGCGGCCGCGGGCCGACGGTGGAGCGGCTGCGGGCCGACGGTGGAGCGGCGGCGAGCCGACCGGAGAAACGACGTGCTGGTGAGAGGGCGGCGGCACGATGGATCCAACGGGGATGCAGATAGTGTCTGCGGTGCCGTACCGTCCAGGCACGGACTTTGAAAAGTGGCTCCGGGCATTGGAGCGGTATATGATCGCTGTTGACATTCAAGGGCCTGCGAGACGGTGTGCAGTCCTGTTGCACCTGGTGGGCCCGGACCTCGCCGATGTCAGCGATTCACTGCCTGAGGAGGACGCCGAGAGACAGGGAGAAGACGAGTTTGCTCGCCTGAAAAGGAAGCTAACACGGTATCTGGTGCCGAAGAATAATGTGGTGGCGGAAAGAGGAAAGTTTCAAGGGATGAAAATGGAGCAGGAAGAGAGTCTGGAGGAGTTCCTGGGCAGACTACGGACGCAAATCCTGCGCTGCGGCTACGAGCCGGCGCAGGTGGACCGTGAGTTGAGAGACCGATGCGTCCTGGGCAGCCGAGGTGAGCTACAGAGGAAGCTGGTCCGGGAGGCGGCGCTAAAGGGTGACGACCTCTCTCTGGAGGACGTCCGGCGGACGGCACGGGCGCACAGGGACGTGATGGATCTGACGACGCGGCTGTCAGGGGCGCCGGCGCCGGCCGAGACGGACGGGGAGGCAGTTCACCTGGTGCGACGCCCGCAGCGGACGGAGAGGGTCAGGCCGACCGAGCCCCCGGGGCCAGGCACGTGCTTCCGCTGTGGCGGCCGGGGCCACTGGCGGCGCCACTGTCCCAGCGCGCAGTCGCGGCAGGCCGGCGCGCGGCCCCGGCAGGACGGTGCGCAGCCGCGGCAGGACAGCGGGCAGCCACGGCAGGACAGCGGGCAGCCGCGGCAGGCCGGCGCGCGGCCATGGCGGGCCGGCGCGCCGCGCTGCTATCGGTGCGGAGAGCGTGGGCATCTGCAGCGTGACTGCGGCAAACAGCGAACTGGCGTGAAGCTGGTTCAGGACGGCGACCAGGCTGACTGGCAAGTCAGCGCCGTGCAGCCAGCCGCAGCTGAGTGGGCGACGGTCAGGGTGAACGGCCAGGAGTTCACCATGCTGATCGACACTGGCTCACCGGTGACTATAATCAGCGCGGAGACTCACATCCCCGGTCTGACGCTGCGGCCGAGTGAGCTGCACCTCACGTCATTCACCGGCCAGCAAATCCGTCTGCGAGGCGAGGCCGACGTCAACGTGGAGACGGACGGCCGAGCGACACGGCTGCGACTCGTCGTGTCCGACATGGGCTCTCACCGACCTCTCATGGGACGAGAGTGGATCAAGGCGCTGAGGACGGCGTCGGGTCTGGAGACGCTGAACGTGTGCCCGGTGGCGACTCAGCCGACGCTGAAGGAGGTGATGGACAAACACCGTGAGGTGTTCAAAGAAGAACTGGGCAGAATCCCGGTGAAGGTGGCGCTCAGACTGAAGGAAGGCGCCAAACCGGTCTATCGACGCGCCAGACCGGTGCCGTTTGCGCTACAGCAAGATATCGAGCGGGAGCTCGACAAGTGGCTGGATCAAGGGATCGCCGAGAAGGTGCCTCCTGGACACTTCTCCGGATGGGGTACGCCGCTCGTACCCATCCCCAAGAAGGACGGCGTGCGGCTGTGCGCGGACTATCGGATCACGGTGAACCCGCAGCTGCAGCCTCTGAAGTATCCGATGCGCACGCCGGAGGAGCTATTCGCCAGCATACGAGGGAAAAAGTTCTGCAAGCTGGACTGCAGGAACGCCTATCTCCAGTGTGAGCTGGACGAAGAGAGCCGAGAGATGACCACCGTGACCACACACCGTGGTGCGATGCGGATGAACCGTCTCCCGTACGGGATCAGCACCTGTGGAGCGCAGTTCCAGGCGATCATGGACCAGGTGCTGGATGGTCTTCCAGGAGTCGTCTGTTACCTGGACGACGTGCTGATCGGCGCCGACAGTGACCGTGAGCTGATGGACAGGCTGGACCGGGTGCTGGAGCGGCTGAAGGACAACGGCGTCCGCCTCAAGAAAGAGAAGTGCCAGTTCGGAGTCCGAGAAGTGGTGTATCTCGGTTGGCGACTGTCTGAGGCGGGTCTGCGCCCGGTGCAAGAGAAGACGGCGGCCGTCACAGCAGCACCTGACCCTCGGAACGTGCAGGAGCTGCGATCTCTGATCGGGTCAGTCAGCTATTATCAGCGGCTGCTGCCCAACCTGTCTACCGTGCTAGCGCCGCTCTACGCGCTACTGAAGACGGGCGTCAAATGGGCATGGACGGCGGAGTGCGCCGCGGCAGTGCGCCGTGTGAAGGACATGCTGTCCACGGCGCCGGTCCTGATGCGGTACGACCCCGTGCTGCCGCTGCGGCTCGTCACGGACGCCAGTGCGACAGGAGTCGGAGCGGCTCTGATGCAAGTGACGCCCGAGGGGCTCGAGAGGCCGGTACAGTACGCCTCCCGAACGCTCACTCCGACGGAGAGGAAGTACGCCCAAGTGGAGAGGGAAGCCGCAGCCGTCTCGTTCGGAGTGCGGCGGTTCCACCAGTTCCTGTTTGGTCGGCCGTTCACCCTGGTGGTCGACAACAGGACGCTCTCCAGGATCCTAAACCCGGACCGTGAGCTGCCATCTCTGGCGGCGGCTCGCATGCAAAGGTATGCGCTGCAGCTCGCGGCGTATCAGTACAAGATCGAGCTGCGCCGGACGGAGGACATGAGGCTGGCGGACACGATGTCCCGTCTGTCGGTGCCGGACGAGGCGGAGAACCGGCTGTCGGCAGAAGAGGAGGCGGCGTACGGCGGAGGCGGCGTAATGTTCATCGCCGAGCAGGGGCCGTGTCTGACCGCGCAGCAGATAGCAGTGGCCACGCGCCGAGACCCGGCGCTCGCCCGCGCTCTGGCGGCGGTGCGATCGGGCTGGCCGGCGGTGGTGGACCCGGACCTGGCTCCCTTCAAGAATCGCCGAGAGGAGCTGACGACTGAGGCCGACTGTCTGCTCTGGGGCGGCCGAGTCGTCATCCCGAGCAACCTGCGCGACACCGTCAAGCGGGAGCTGCATGAGGGTCACTTCGGCTGCACTCGCATGAAGCAGCTGGCGAGGCGCTTTGTGTGGTGGCCGGGACTCGATGCTGAGCTGGAGGCGCTGGCTCGCGGGTGTCAGGCGTGCGTCTCAAAGCGAGCTGAGCCGCCGCAGGCGACACGGCACCCGTGGGAGCCGACGGACGGCCCGTGGCAGCGGGTGCATGCCGATTTTGCCGGACCTCTGAAGGGCACCTGGTTCCTGGTGATGGTGGATAGTTTCTCCAAGTGGGCTGAAATGATCCCAATGAAGACGACCACGTCCGAGCGGACCGTAGCGGTGATGAGGACGGTTTTTGCTCGTCTCGGACTACCACTGGTGCTGGTAACGGACAATGGCCCACAGTTCACGAGCCAGGAATTCGCCCAGTTCGCCAGCTCTAACGGGATCCGACATGTCAGAGTGGCGCCCCATCACCCATCGTCTAATGGGATGGCGGAGCGAGCGGTCGGCTCGCTAAAAAACTCACTGAAGGCGACTCTGGCAGCAGACGACAGCGGAGGCATGGAACTGGCGCTCGCCCGAGTTCTGATGGCGTACAGAGTGACGCCCCACGCCGCGACCGCACGGACTCCCGCTGAGATGCTGTTCGGGCGGAACCTCCGCACTCGTATGAACCTCATGGTTCCGAGCGCCGAGACAGCTCTGCAGGCGGCTCGGGACCGGCAGCGTGAGACGGCCGGCGGACGGAGCAGGGAATTCGCCGTGGGAGCTACAGTGTGGGCCCGCTCGTATGACGGTCGTCAGAAGTGGGTCCGCGGCACGGTGGTCGCCCGCCCCGGTCCCGTGTCGTATGAAGTGGACGTGGGACACGTGATCTGGTCGCGCCACGTTGACCAGCTGTTGGCGGCGGCGGCGGACCCAGGGAACAGCGCCGGCGGTGACGTCAGAGCGGCCACCGGCGGTAGTGTCCGAGCGGCGACCAGTGGTGACGTCAGAGCGACGACCGGCGGTGACGTCAGAGCGACGACCGGCGGTGACGTCAGAGCGACGACCGGCGGTGACGTCAGAGCGACGACCGGCGGTGACGTCAGAGCGACGACCGGCGGTGACGTCAGAGCGACGACCGGCGGTGACCGGGCTGGTGGCGCCGGCGGCAGCGCCGGGCGCCCTGTCGGAGACGATCGCGCCAATGGCCTCGGTGACGGCAGCCGCGCCGGCGTCGCCGGTCAGACCTGTGACCGGGGAGCAGTCGGCCTCGGCCGTGCCGGTGATCTCGGCGGCGGCGGGGATGCCGGTGACCCCGGTGGCTACGGCCGTGCTGGTGACCCCGGCGGCGGCGGTAGTGCAGGTGACCTCAGCGGCGGCGGTGATGCCGTCAGCAGCGGCGGTAGTGCCGGTGACCTCGGCGGCGGCGGTGATACCGGTGACCTCAGCGGCTACAGTCACACCGGCGGTGGCGGTGACGGCGGCGGCAGGGGCGGCGGGGACACTGAGGGCCCCTCGCAACGCCGTTCCGCTCGGCGCCGGAGGTGCCCGAGGCGACTGATCGCCGAGGTTTAAAATGTGTTTGTTTCCACGTTCCGCCGCGTAATGTGTTTGTTTCCACGTTCCGACGCGTAATGTGTTTGTTTCCACGTTCCGGTTTAAAATGTGTTCCGTTTTAAGGGCGGCAGGTTAAAGTGAATGTGTTCCGTTTTAAGGGCGGCAGGGTGTGGTGTCGCGAGCTGCTCCCCCCCTGCCCCGGGGCCTGGCGACGCCAGTTGCTCCCCCCTGCCCGGGGGCCTGGCGACGCCATTGGCGGCGCCGGCGCGCAGACGCGGGGTTCGAGAGCAGTCGGCCGCCGGCCCGCGCGGAGCGCGGTTGTGGTAGTAGCGATCGGTGTTTGGCGCTCTAGGAAGTCTAACGCAATGCGGCTTTGGTTGTGAATAAAGAGCTCACGTTATAACAGTTATACAAGGAAATGGTGAGCTGATCTGTTGTCAGAACTTCTGCAACAAATGTCTTCATCCCTACTTATTGAGTGTGCGGGGCGAGAATAGTGACAAAGGTCTCGGGGCGGCCATGGTTGCCCGGTAGTCGCACAGAATACCTCTTGAGATGCCGCCACGCCTGGGTCTCGCCTGTGATGTTTGACCCCTCGTAGGAGTTAAACATTGCCACCTTTGTATACGGTAAGCGACGTACCAGTACTCGTGAAGTGTTCCTCACGTGTATGGGGCCGACCGATCCTGGGGGCGGGGAACGAATGTTCCTTTGGAGACTCACAGCATCTCATGCTGTGTCATCCCACTTTGGCTGCGTCTTAGCCACCAATGAGCTGAGATCCCGCTCGTGACATTACTGGCCATCGTAAGGGTTCGACTGAGGATACCTGCGACCATTTGCCCCTGAACGCCAACTGATCACCGTATTCCGCCTTTGCACTCTCAGGGTAGTCAGAGGACATCGTGCTAGTCGAGACAAGAGCCACCCGACCATTTGGTTGTTGACATTCTCAGAGGATGTTTTTACGTTATCCCAACAGCGGGGTATAGTCACTCTGCTGTCTTAAAAGGAAACTCACGACTTTATGGGATAGCAGTCGCTGGTTGAGTTGATCTCGCCGACCTTTGTCCGACTTATCTCTGCAAACGCCCATGTCAACAGACCAGCGGTTATGACATTCAGTAGCGGTCACTGGGTAAATTGGGTTGCCAGTCCATCGAGAATTATCACGTGTTCATCCACAACAAGATATCAGACGTGTACTACGTAAATTCAAAACCTCATCTCAAGACCTTTACTGTCATTTGATATGAAAAACTTTTAACCAAAGTAACCTTACGGTAATTGACCGGTTTCCCTGTTTTGATGTTGAAACAAATGTCACCAATTTGTTGCATATTTTATAAGCTTAAATGACTGATTCCGTGAAACCAAAAGACCAAATATTTCACCGTGCTAACGCCCCAAAACCGTCCGGTTGTTGCCAGCGAGCATTGGTCTGTCCTCATGGACCCTCCAAGATCTGGATCGCAACGCACTTGATCTTTCCGACATTTTCTGTTTCGAATTCTGTCAAAAGGTTTTAAAAAGTGCTTCACCTGGTTCACAGAACACCTAGCAAGTTACGTCAAACCAGATAAAAGATAATCCAGCTCAGTAGCTAGATCGTCAAAGATACACACTAAAGATGCAGGCCCTTGCCCAAAATGCATCGAACTGTGCACGCTCTTTCTCACTCTCATCGCCCTATATCCCTATAGGACTAAAGCGACCTGGTGGTCACCGGTCCCTGTGGACCTCCAGCGTGACCGCTGCATGAACCGACGCAAACGTAGAGGGGGATTCTTCCCAGACAAGCTGTCCGCGGACTCGCTGTCGTCTCTAGCTTTTTGCATCATCTTCCCCATCCTCTTACCCGCAGGAAGACCTCAGACTTCGAATCGTCTCCCTCAGACCAATTCGACCGCACGCCTCCACCCTCTCCCAAGGGTTTTCATGACATCTTGACACCACTGTCAAGCAGATGGCCACGAGCCTGTCCTCGACAAAAGAATCGTCTCTGAGTCGAAATTTGCCATTGGCATCGCCGCCGCGAGCGAAACCTTCCGAATGGTCGGCTTCAGGCACGAATTATAATATTTCTCGTCTCCTCCCGTTGCTGAAGGGGCCGTGGTTGGGCAGTCCACGCTAATTCCGTCATACCCCGCGGGCAGACGCCTTCACGCCTTCGGGTTTCCATATCGCTAGAAGAAGGAAAACGGAAACGAGGGCAACTGATATCCTCTCTTCCAATGACTGTCGTGGGGTCACGCAGACGTCACCCATTATTCGATCTGTACCCCTCTGGCGCCTCGTCACTGGCAGTGTCCAAAACTGCTGGGCTGGCTGATCAGGCGCAGCCGAGCAGCGCGTATTGCCCAGGGGGAGTTGCCCCTATACGCTATTCCCGGCCCGTAGAGTTGGGCGACTTATCCTCCTATCTAAGACTCTACGTCCGGACACTCCAAGCACCCGATCGCCAGATGACCTCATGCCAGCCGTAGTCTTTCAACGTGCTGGTGGCCCCACCTCGTGGCGGCCGAGTCGTCCCGTATCACCGTCACATTAACCCCGGTGCCTACGTTAGGTATCAGTGCCGAAATTATTATAATACCGCCTGCCAAGTAACAATTTCCGTCTGTGATGTCCTGCACATATCCTGTGAGATATTACGTCAAAACCGTCGTTACGTCTGCTCCGTCATGGAAAGCTGAGCTTACTTTGGGTCCTCACACTTAACTAAGTGTTTCAAAAGTCAATATCCCTTAAATCTCCGTCGCCCAAAAGTTTGTTTGATACGGGGGATGATCGTCTAGTCATTGTGTCATTGGTCACGCTGTAAGCACTAAGCATTCACATCAATTCTCATGCGTCACACACACGTCATAGATCAATTTGCACGTAACACACGTAAGGTCTTACTCAATTCCACAATCATGCACATCAAAGGAAAGCCAAGATTTAACCAGCAAATTTAACCACTAACTGAATTGTGATAAAAAGTCTTTAGTTTGAAAATAGCATTTACTGTAATATGTACCTTAAATGGTTACTGTGAAATAAAACTGTAATAGGTACGTTAAACATTTCATGAATTTCCAACTCCGGGTGTTGACACAGCCCAGGTGTTCACAAACTCTGCCCTGCTGTCCTCCGGTGAATCTGTCCGGTGTAATCGGTGTAACGGCCTGTGGTGACCTTGACCGTGGGGCGCGCAGTAAACAGGTTACCGCTAGCCTTGGGCGAGTGCGTGTGCGTACAGCGGTGTCCTACTTCCACCTGAAAGCTTTCACCGACCGTGCTGCACTTCGCCAACAGAGACCCCGATAAAGTGGAGCTGCGAGAGTCGCCTGTGAAACGTTTCGGCATCCGAAGCATAGCTGCTATTAAAATAATTGGACGGCAAATAAAATATCACCAATTTTGTAGGAAATCTCTGCTGTATCGCGGCATCGCCATGCTATAGGCCCGATATAGGCCCTTGGAACAAAACCAACCGAGAAGAGATAACGTTACTTCCCATGCTGTAATTGGATGTTGTTGAAAAAAAAAACGTATCCGAAGTACAATCACAGGCTTTTAAAATGGAAACTGAGATACAAATAAAACCAGCAAAGAAATGTTTTAACTTCGACGAAATCCGATTCAATTTACGGTACACAACCGAAATATTAATCGACCATTATACCGTGAAAAAAAACGAACGGGCTGTCACCAGGCGATGCTAGCTGCTGTAAATGCAAGTCGGAATAAAGTCACATGAAATTATCGAATGGATCCTATGCCCGAAACTCCCTATAAGAAACCAATTAAACCTACGTTTGCCGAGCTTAAATCTCCAGATATCATGGAAGCCATACACCCGCAAAATTAGCCGAAAATTTTCCCCAATATGAAAGCCACAATATCATAAAATGTCATGAAAAATGACCATGCCGGTTACAATAGTATTTGAAGGCGAAGCAAAATCCAGCTGAATACCGTCAAACCTAATAGAAATAGCGCTACATGAAAATACCCAATCAGAAGCCAACCACACTACCCAATCAGAAGCCAACCACACAACTTCCTTACATCATTACGAATCCGGAACACCTCCAGGCTCCAGATCTCTAGCTCAAGCAGATCGAGATGCAAATCTCAGCACGCACACAACTTTTTATCAACCTGTCGGCACCGGACCACGCTCAGGTCTCTTGATCGAGCAGATCAAGATGCAACCCCCGGCACACGCAACCTCCTAACCGCATGCTGACGCAGGAACACATCCAGGCTTCGTGATCGAGCCGATCAACATGCAAATTTGCACCATGACCGAAGAATACCTTCTGGTAATGAAGGCACCGAATACTCATGGCTACAGGTGTTTATAACCCTTGCCGTGCGAAGAGGTCAACGCCCTCCGCGCACCTTCCCAGTCTCGTTGTCTGTGTGTAATGATCGTGTCCATTTCGTATCCATAACTTTCAATTTCAACCTTAACCTTAGGCTCGCGGTACTGTGAACAATAACCGACCCTCAGAAACTGTTTGTGCGCGTTTTGCACATACCGTTCTCAATTACTTTCACTGACGGTCGAGTCGAGGCGTGCTTATTGTTCGGAAGCGGAAACCCGACCATAAACAAAATAATAAACAAGGCTATTAAACAACCAAAAGCCAGTACCGGTATCTCCAGGTCTCTTAATCGAACTGATTAAGATCAAATCCCGGACAGAGCCACCAGTGTGAATTTATAAGTGGTGTTTGGGATGGGGATAAGGATAAGGATGACTGGGAGAAGGATGAGGATGTAGAGTGGGTAAAGGATGGGTGTAAGAATGGATTCAGGCCCGCCTACTGGCTGTTGTGGTAGCTTCTGCTAATATTCCTCGTGTGTCTAGGGGTATTCTAATCTGTGTCATCTGCACAATCCTATCATCGTTGTCTAGGATCTCTGCTGTATCGCGGCATCGCCATGCTATAGGCCCGATATAGGCCCTTGGAACAAAACCAACCGAGAAGAGATAACGTTACTTCCCATGCTGTAATTGGATGTTGTTGAAAAAAAAACGTATCCGAAGTACAATCACAGGCTTTTAAAATGGAAACTGAGATACAAATAAAACCAGCAAAGAAATGTTTTAACTTCGACGAAATCCGATTCAATTTACGGTACACAACCGAAATATTAATCGACCATTATACCGTGAAAAAAAAAAACGAACGGGCTGTCACCAGGCGATGCTAGCTGCTGTAAATGCAAGTCGGAATAAAGTCACATGAAATTATCGAATGGATCCTATGCCCGAAACTCCCTATAAGAAACCAATTAAACCTACGTTTGCCGAGCTTAAATCTCCAGATATCATGGAAGCCATACACCCGCAAAATTAGCCGAAAATTTTCCCCAATATGAAAGCCACAATATCATAAAATGTCATGAAAAATGACCATGCCGGTTACAATAGTATTTGAAGGCGAAGCAAAATCCAGCTGAATACCGTCAAACCTAATAGAAATAGCGCTACATGAAAATACCCAATCAGAAGCCAACCACACTACCCAATCAGAAGCCAACCACACAACTTCCTTACATCATTACGAATCCGGAACACCTCCAGGCTCCAGATCTCTAGCTCAAGCAGATCGAGATGCAAATCTCAGCACGCACACAACTTTTTATCAACCTGTCGGCACCGGACCACGCTCAGGTCTCTTGATCGAGCAGATCAAGATGCAACCCCCGGCACACGCAACCTCCTAACCGCATGCTGACGCAGGAACACATCCAGGCTTCGTGATCGAGCCGATCAACATGCAAATTTGCACCATGACCGAAGAATACCTTCTGGTAATGAAGGCACCGAATACTCATGGCTACAGGTGTTTATAACCCTTGCCGTGCGAAGAGGTCAACGCCCTCCGCGCACCTTCCCAGTCTCGTTGTCTGTGTGTAATGATCGTGTCCATTTCGTATCCATAACTTTCAATTTCAACCTTAACCTTAGGCTCGCGGTACTGTGAACAATAACCGACCCTCAGAAACTGTTTGTGCGCGTTTTGCACATACCGTTCTCAATTACTTTCACTGACGGTCGAGTCGAGGCGTGCTTATTGTTCGGAAGCGGAAACCCGACCATAAACAAAATAATAAACAAGGCTATTAAACAACCAAAAGCCAGTACCGGTATCTCCAGGTCTCTTAATCGAACTGATTAAGATCAAATCCCGGACGAGCCCCCAGTGTGAATTTATAAGTGGTGTTTGGGATGGGGATAAGGATAAGGATGACTGGGAGAAGGATGAGGATGTAGAGTGGGTAAAGGATGGGTGTAAGAATGGATTCAGGCCCGCCTACTGGCTGTTGTGGTAGCTTCTGCTAATATTCCTCGTGTGTCTAGGGGTATTCTAATCTGTGTCATCTGCACAATCCTATCATCGTTGTCTAGGGGTATCGTCTTACTCTCAACAATCATTTAACCGTCTATAGTTGTATTTACTGATCGACCAAAAACTATGCGAGCCACAAACCCTTTCGTGTCCGAATCTTCATATTGCCAGCGTTCTCACCGACATTTCCAGCCTCGAAAAAGAACGGAGTAAGATATACATATTAAATATGTATTGAAAATGAAAAGGCCGAAATAAATAAAAGCGAACAAATCAAACATGAGGTGCCAGAAAACGAGCAATGTCACGGTAACCGTGCACTGCCGAAGTAAATATTGCCAAAGTGCCGAAACATTCAATAAAGCCGAAACAATGATCAAGCTGAAATCATGATACCGAAATAATATTGCCAAAGGGGGGGGGGAAACTGACTCATAGCAGCCAAACGTGCCGAAATGGACTGAGTCGAGTCCCGAAACACGGTGTCTCAAAAAGACATATAGACCAATCAATCGAACTTAAAAACTGCCCACAGTACCGCGGCCATCCTGAAGTGTTGTTACCTACGCCAGTGTGACTATATGTGCGTGTCTGTGCCTGAGACATATCTCCGACCGCAGCAGAGACTCAACCGAAGTCAGGCTCTAACCCTTTCACTCCGCCGGTCGGAACCAGTGGCGTGGATAGGGCTTGGCAAGAGTCCGGTTAGAGACGTCCGACTGGGCAGGAGATAAGGCCCAAGAACTTACATGTTTGTAGACCAGACCAGACGCACAAGGCGACCACCACGGGCGGCGTCGGGACCACCACTGCCCGCGCGAACCAGAGAGCAAGAGCCCGAGAGAGAGAGAGCCCCAGAAGGTCTCAAACGCGCCTATTTATACCTTCGCACATTCACCGCACAGCGCCGCGCCCGTCTCTAGCCCGTGCCGTCTCGGGGCTGGCGCGGCCGGCGATCGGCGCCATGGTATTTCTATATAGCATTCACATATCTTACCAATTGTCATATCGCAATATTCTAATCTACCACCACCATGGTGCAATGTAGCATCATTATCCGCTCCCTATCGAGTATCGAACAATGCACAACAATCTGTACCGGTGTTCATACTACCCACAACGTTTAAACTACACATGCCGCCATCTGCAATTGCATATCTAAATACCGTCACCGCTATTGCCGCAAGTATGTCAAAATAACATGTCGCTGCGTAACATTCAGGTCAACGCACCATCACTCCAATCAGTGTGCCGTGCTTTGTGTGTCGCGTATCTGAACAGCCACGCCGTAGTTATCGCTCGGGCATAACCATGTACCTTCTAAATGTGTATTCCTCATCACCCTTCCTGATGTTGATACTACGAAACTCACTCGATGTCTTGTTGCTGCAAAAGTACCGATGCATTGCGCCAGCTGTCCCTATTTCCGACTGTCTATCCACTGCGCGACTGCCTATCTGGAATATTTTTGTTACACTGTTTTAATAACGGTATATCGCCATTTCACGGCTCGCATAATTAATCGTTAGACGGGGTACCTTCATCTCACATTCCCTCGATGACCGCGAAAGCAACACCTCGGTCGTTCGGTTTGTCTCTCAGTTCATACTTGTGCAGAAGTAGGTGTGCAGAAGATACGAGTTGAGTTGATAAGGAATCGGTCGCACCGAAGAGCCGGCATTGCTGCTTTGCATGTAGATCATGCACTGTCCATGGTCTGTCCGCTCCATTCCAGCCGAAGTACTGACAGCGCGCGCTCAGGGTCAGAGCTGAGCAGTGTACGACCCTCCCGCAACCGCGGGCTGCCGCTCGTTATCTGGCACCGATGTTGCAGCTGATTCTGATCGGCCATCACCTGTTGATAGCAGGATATGTGCACCGGAGCCAACAGCTGTGAACACAAGCATAGTCACCTTTTCCCCTCCCTGAGACCTGTTGATGAAATGGGGTAGGATAGATACGAAAGTTGATCATACTTTTTTCAACTGCCCTTTCTTTCAAGCTGTATATCCAAAAGCTACCTTGTGGTGTGCAGATAATACAGCGATGAAACCACACCAGGTGTACCTTTACTTCCTAAGGTTATGTAAATGCGTGGGCACGCCATCTCCTCGACGCGCTGAAACGCACAATGACCTCGCAGCGTCCGCGCTGGTCCGCGCCGCTCGCTTCTGGCCATGGGTCATGGAACTCTGGAAATGCGTAATTATGGAGATGCCCCTGGGGAGAGGCACTGCTCTTCTGCAGAGAGAGAGAGAGAGAGAGAGAGAGAGAGAGAGAGAGAGAGAGAGAGAGAGAGAGAGAGAGAGAGAGAGAGAGAGAGAGGGTGAGATAGAGAGACGGAGAGAGAGAGAGAGAGAGAGAGAGGGAGAGAGAGAGAGAGAGAGAGAGAGAGAGAGAGAGAGAGAGAGAGAGAGAAGGAGAGAGAAGGAGAGAACAAGCGTTCGTCTGTCATTCTGTCACTGTCTTTTGTTTCTCTGTTCCGTGAGGTGTGCTTTGCGTTTTGCCCTTATTGTACTCGCGATTATCTGCAGCCAGGAACCAATTTTCTCACAGAATGAATGCCGCCCCACAATGCCGATGGCCGTCCCTGCACTGGAAAATCAGTTTCGCCCCTATACAGGCGCCCATAGAAGTTTGCAGAGTGCTATTCCTGGTCATAATCATCTCCCCAGTAAAAAAAAAAAAAAAAAAACGCAAAATACGCCCTAGCACTAGGGGTGTAACCACCCATACGGACAGTGCAATTTTACAGGCCCCAATCTCGGACCTCCCTTAACATTCATATGTTGTAAACGGCAAACCGCCCCCGATAAATGTTACACAAACTACCTACTTTCCTCTCGCATATCGGCCATCAGGCGCCCCTTTTGGTCGCATGGAGCCTGCAACGCTATAAGCCCTCATATGTTCGTGTTGGCGTTCGGAGGCTATCGCCTTCAAAGACGTCTCCATAAATGTTTCTTTTTCGTCCCACACACAGGCGCCCCTCTTTCGCATGCAGGCGCCCCTCTTCCGCATGGCGCGCTTCTCGAGTGGCTGCGCCCTCCTAGCCTTTATCGCCTGGCAAGATTATATTCGACAGGGTCGGCAGCATCTGCCTTTGTTTCAGATAAGGATGCCCTCCACTCTTCAGCATATCAAAACATACTTTTCCCACGTCATTGCCACCCTCTTCGTGTCACAAGTGCCTTTATCAGTTGCGGTGTCGCACTGCTCAGCTTTATGGCTGCCGCACCTCTTAACTTCCTGCCTCCTCCACAGATTTTCGAGGCGCCCCTTTCCATAGCTTTAGGGTGCAGCTGCCCCCCTTGCCCCCCTGCTTCCGCCGCCACTGTATCTTCACGTCTTTTGATCTTCAATATACGAAAGAACATGCATTGTTTTGTATGTATGGGGAATTTCTAGTTAATCCAATAATAAATATGGCAGTTAGAGGCCTGCTAAGAGTAACATGTCGCCGGCTGAGGCGGGCTCGGCCGATGCGGGAAACGCAGCAATCACAATTTTGTGTTTACACGTTCATATTTTAATTGTTTACCAACCGATTTTCAAAATTCTTTCACCATAAGATTGCCTGTACATTTCTTAGTCTTCTCACAAAATTTGACGCGAATCGAACGTAATCAGCGGTAGGGAGCAGGGACGTCGACACCGGTCCGACTTTTCCGACTAGTCGGACCACTTTTTCGACTAGGCGGTGCCCTGCTGTGGCTCGCGGGGGCCCCTGCTGCAGACCGCGGGGGCCCTTACTGCGGCTCGGGGGGCCCTGCTCATGTATGTATGTAAATGTACGTTGGGAAGCCGTTCGACACCTGGGGGGCCCCCACCGGTGGGGGCCCCCCGAGAAAAAGTCGGACCAGTTTTCCTTACGCGTCGACGCCCCTGGTAGGGAGCGCGATGTAAAGACGGAACCGTTCCGTTCCGTCCCGGCACAGTCTACAATTCAGGCGGCGCGTAGCGGTCGGCGCCGGCTGCCGAGTCGCCGCGTCGCTGCGGCGACAGGATGTTCACTTTACACCGCTATTACTAGAACAGTTGTGAACCGATTTTCTTATTGCTTGCACGATGAGATGTCCAATTCAATTCTTGACAGGTAGCCATAATAAATTTCGCATTAATCTTATGAGATATTGGCGAAAAACAGGAGGGGTGGGCGAAATTCGCTCTTCCCCCTCCACTGCGCGTGCTAACATACGTTTGCATATGTGCAATTTTCTTCAAAACTTATGAATGGCCCACTCCAATTTTTTCACAGGTTGTTAAGAATATGGTAAGCAATAAAATATATGAAAATGAGCCAAATCGAAGGTGACCTGTTTTTTGCTATTTCAATATTTGTGCTTAAGAACAGAGTTAAGCAAATTTCAAGGTCATATATTTAAGTAAGTGCAATTCTAAACAAATGCTTAAGAAATTACCTAAACAGTAAGGTTTATTTCATTCAAATCAAACAAGTACAACCAAAGTTATGGTCGTTCAAAAATATAAAGATGCAACATTTTGTAAAAATTTGATGCCCTATATTTAGAAGACCTGTGGTCAGAATGTGCAAAAAACATCAATGTAATGTCCGGGGCCACACAGGAACTCGCTCACAAATTTATAATGAAATCGCTGATGGTAAGGTGCAAAACAGCCGATTTTTGTTCGATTTGACGTGGAATGCCCCCTCTGCAGTCGGCCACTGCGAACACGCTAACTTTGGACAGGCCTTGGATCGCTTTACATTCGTTTATAAATCTGAGGCTCCTTGGACCATCGCCCGGTAATTATCTTTTCATGGACACGCGCCTTCATATGAAGAAGCTGCACTTTCAATTACCGGCAGGAAGAGCGCACCGTATTCAGCAGAGACCCTCAATTTGCCGAGCAAGTCTTCGTGGAACGGGAGAACGACGGTCGCTTCTGGTAACGATTGGAGGCCATCTTGCCGGCGGTAACTAGCTTCTTGGTCGTGCCTGCAATCTACCATGTCTCATTGAAGGACAGTATTCGCCCCATTCAGTACTTACTCGCATTCTCTCGAAAGTGAAAACACTACGACACAGCTCACAAGGCTCGGTACCACGCACCCTGTTCCATATGCCCATGGACCGCACAATGCGAGACTTGACATTGCTAACGTGTATTTCAGCATCCAAAAAACGATCCGCCGTCGAAAAGCGTAGGTCCTCGTGGCATGTGGCCCGGGCTATCCTCCCTGCGGCTCGTAAGCACAGCTAAGAGTGCGCTGCGGCCGGCTCGCCGAGCTTTGCGACGCCAAAACGCCACCACACACTCCACTACAACACGTCACAAACACAAGAACGAACGGCGCGCGGTACCGGCGCGCCCACAGACAGTCAGAAGTCACGACGCTCGCGCGCGCCGCCAGTGCGGTACACGCTCACCCACTCTCACTCGCTCTCACTCAGTCTCTCACACTTCTCGTGCGGCTCGGTGAGGTACAAAACTAGCGCCGGTCGCCACCGTCAGGCGTCTATATACTTGGCAAAAGCGAGCACGGAGTGGTGCTGAAACCGTCCCGGCGCGCCGGGACGCACTCGCATCGTCACTGCTCCGCGCTAAGACCACACATCCCTGATTCCAGCGTCCATGCTGCGCCGTTTAGACCGTCCGTTCGTCGCTCGCTGTCCCGCCGCGCGCGCCGCGCCGCGGGAGTTAGGTACAGTAGTGGTTTTGTTCGTCCCCGCCAGACGTCAGGGCTGGCGGGGCGCCGTCAGGTGCACTGGCCGCTGGCTCACCAGCAGAACAGCGATAGTTCGGCCGATGGCCGCCAGGTGGTGACCGATCGCATGCCCTCCTGCGGAGAGAGCCGCCATAATCAGTGAGTCACCCTCACATGACAGTGCGCTGCACTGCTAGGACGCACTACATGACAAATTGGGGGCGGCGCTGGTGAACATTGCACACATGGGAAACGTCACTTCCGGCATTTACAGCCGCGGGCGAACTGTAACTGAGGATGAACACATACTTTTCACGTGCATAGCTTACATTACGCTTGGATGCTGCAACTAATTTTTTCAGAGCATGATGCAAACAATATGTAACATTTCAAACACATGATTGAAAACAGCCTTGAGCGATAAGACACCCACCTAACAGATAAGGGGTCAATCAAAAATGTGATCCAATGCTTATTCATCTTAACCTATCTACAAACTGCACCAACACTTCCAATCAGTGAAGATAAAACACATTTATAATTCCCACTTCAAGGTAGCATACTACCCCATGGCAGCATTTGCTTGAACCTAACGGAGGCACTGTTAGGGGCGGTAGAGTTTACAGATAAAGAAACAGCCACGGATAGTCCGTATTTTACTCCGTCCCGGTTCGACAACCACAGCCCGTGGGCCGAGGGAGACTGAGAGTCTGGGAGTCCCGGCAGCTGTACCGAGAAACACGTGTTGGACTGACGGCGGCAGGCGAGTCACCGTGATATTATGGTCGGAACGGTGTGAGGGAGGCAGGCATGATGGTTAACGATAGCATGATAGCAAACATTGCTAGCTATTTATGTCGTAAACATGGCGATACACGGGATGTTCCCCATAAAACTATATCATGAAGCAGCCGCAAACCTGATATTGACGCCCATCAAATGACTATCATTTGAATAAATCATAAACTATCGCTAGCTATATCGATCGCAAGGCTTCATCATGTGTAGGGGAACACCCGTATTCGTGTACGGCACCGCCACAGGCTGCTCCTTTCCCACCGGAGCTCACAAGTCAGTCCAACAGTCCCGATCACTGTGCAAATGTAGGTGAATACATCGGACGGGAATCGGCCGGGCAGCTGTCGCCTGTCGCCCGGGACCTGCACCGGTCCCGGTAGCAGTCGAGCAGCGGTCACGTGGTCACGTGGGACCTCCTAGAACTCGGGCCGCGAGGCGTGCAGGACTGCGCACAGCGCGAACCTCTGCACGGCTGAGGGGACTCGCACCCACATGGACAGGGTGAGCAGCCGAGAGAGGGTCACGGAATTAGGGGTGATTCCGAGAACGGTCGGCTCGACACATACCGGAAGAGGAGATGATAGCTGCACGGGTCGATCGACGCGAATGGAACATTGTGATACCCGAAAGGTTCGATTTCATACTGAGTTGCGGTGATTTATATAGAAATAGAATCCCAATGATTGAAATCACAGTGTAATGGAAATAAAAGAATAGAAAAAGGAAGGAATCCCAATAAAAACTGGTACTAAATGGCGGTGACTCATCGCAACGAAGCTACGAATTGGACTAGGCATTCCTCTCAAATTCCTCATAGCATCAGATCAAGCGCACTGGATACGCAAAACTTGCTGCAACAGAAACTCCCACAAACACACTCATGACCTCACCCATAACACGCTCCCACACCGAGCCCACCCGACCAGTCAAACGCACCTGTTGCATCTTCTCAAAGTCGAGACAGGGCCGCTGCGCCCCGAGCGGGCCCAGACCGCGTCGCCGCTTCCTGCCGCGGGTGGACGGCGTGGTGGGTGGCGGGGGCGGGGGCGGGGGCGGCGCAGCGGCCGCCCGACGCGGCGGCGGGCTGGTGCGTCCCGGCCGGTGCGCGCCCGCCGGCGGCGACGAGCGGAACTGGACGGGCGCCGGCGAGGTGGGTTCGGCGGGCGGGGCCATCTCCTCGTCCGAGCTGCAGCTCGAGTCGCGAGACGTGCGCTTCACCTGCCGGACAGAGAAGAGCCGTTGGACTAGTCTCAAGGCTGAAACAGACTTTTTTCGCGTTCAGGAAATCGCATGCGAGAGCCTATTCAAATACATTATAATTCTTCCCGCATCAATGGCATCCGGGAGGTGCGTGCGATTGATGCGAGCGTGCTTCCATGTAGTTGAATAGGCTCTCGCATGCGATTTCCTCACTGCGGAAAGAGTCTGTTTCAGGCATCAGCCTGAAACTGATCAGCCTGGACTGACCAGCACAGCGGGGACAGGAGGTGGGGTAGGGAGCAGCGGGGACGCTGACTGATGTTATGGCAAACTGAGTACTTTTGTGTACGTTTCCATAGAAACCGAAGCGCCACTAACTGGTAGCGTTTGGGAGTGGCGTGCCGTGAAACAGGGCCCACCCATTAGGATAGACAAAGGGGTACTGTGCGGAGGCAGTGGCAGTGCACAGTCGACTTACAGGCAGCGAGCAGTCGGGCAACGAGATATGCTGGGGGCTGAGCGAAGGCAGCGGGGACGGGGGCGGGCGATTCAGGGAACTCTGCCACGGAGAGTCGACTGACGAGTGACAGGGAGCCGCAGCACCCCACGGACGGGTGTCAGCGGTCGGCGGACGGATAGCGCGGCGGGGTGACACTCGGCGGGAGGAATAACGGTACACCCTTCAACCCAACCGCACGGCTCGCTGCCAGAGCAAGGATACGGAGACGGGCGGACGGGAGAATCACGGGAAATGGCGATGCATATTATGGAAACACTGATCACATACGTAGACCGTGCTCAAACTGGTGTTATGTAAGTGCAGGGAAAGTTGATAGACCGGTAGAGGTCCTGAATTTAAATGGCCGATTTCGTACTTATGTATGCATTACCTGCACATAAGCACTTTCGTGTAGTACCTACTCAATAAAAGGGCGAGGACACTCGCTCCTTACCTGAATGCTGTTATAATGGTTTTGAGAATTCTTCAAGTCGTATGTATGTTAATACTTTCCGTAACATTTCACGATGTTTTGCTAACTGAACTACGGAACGACCTTAGCATAACGATTACCTCCAAAATACCGCAACCACGCATCATGCGACAAATTTGTTTAGCGAGCGAGCTCGACAGCTAGGGTCCGCAGGCGGGCGGGTTAAGGCCAGTTCATGGCCAACGCCTTCAAATGGCCGTCACAACTGCAATCCACAATTACCATTTCCTAACATTGTAATTGAATTACGCATTAAACAATGCAGTCAGGCGAATTCAGAAGGGTGTATCTACTATCTAACATGTCAAATAAATGGGTTAGGCACGCAAGACGCATGTAAACATTCAACCGGATGACGATAGCCCCATGACAGTAGAACTGGGACGTCCCTTGCAGGGGAGAGGTTACATAACTGTTGTAATCCCACGTGTACAAAACAACTCAGAACATCGCAGTCCAAACGGATTAGGATTACAGAATGACGACGTCAAACATTCATTTCCAAGTATCCATTACCATCCATTTTACCTAAGCAGCTTCATAACTCCAAGAAGTACAAGCAGATGCAGATATTCGACAGCATTCTGCAAGTCCTTGGTGATTAAACGTGCATTTGAAGCGCCGCCATCGTAAGGATTCGGGTACCCGTCGGGTTCACATTGGATGGAGCAGCCCCACGAGCTATTGACAAACGAACTGAACTGGCGTCAGATCGTAAACTGGAAGTTCATAAACAGGCGCCAGCTGTTCAGCGTCACATAGTCGCAGAGTCACCCTATCATAGCGTCACAGCCACATCAGCTGACGTCAATCGATACTGAGTCAGGGAAAACAGTGGCTGCCGACAGCCGGTGGCGGACCAGTTGCGGTTTCCTATCGACAACCTAGGGTGTGGGCGTGGATGGAGTCCTAACCGAAGCTGATTTTACCGTTATGTATTGTTTACATCGTGATGGATCAACGAACTATTCATCAATTATCCACTTCACAATCATAGGATGAGATCTTGTTTTTATGGAGCAGCTTGACTTCGATTCCTTTTTTGTATCTCCCAGTCCCTAGATTACATGTGGCCGTATAAATTTATAAAAAAAGTACTCCCGGGCTGTTAGACGGAAATGGCAGGCTAAAAGCGTTTCACGAACGTCGCACCATTTATCACGTCACGAAACGATAATGATCAGATAAGGCAATAAAGCAGCCACTCTCCGCCTAAAAATAGACATAGCACCAGCCACCCGACCAAACTAACAGCCGCCATTGTTTCTCGTCGAAATGTCAAGTCCGGGGAGGGAATGTCAAGACCGACATTAGCACCGTTACCATCACCGGCCCCGTCACGACTGGTCAGAATTGGGATATCCCCGGTCGTAAACTGGTTCTCTGTCACCCCCTCCCCCCCCCCAACAGGCCACCATGGAACATTCGCGCAATCAAACCACAGTCAAGTCACTCCACGTCTATGCACCACTTCACTTCTCTCCCAAGTATAAGAGGGGTCGGCGGAATTGGATATAATCGAAGGGAGGGCATACCCTGGTCTGTGACAGTCCAAAATATTAGCAGTGGGTGGCTGGATCCAGTCACGAGAGGACAATCTACTACAAACGTCTGTGGGATGACCAGTGAGGATTGGTCTCCTTTGTAGGTAGGATATGCCATCTTTTTCGGTCTACGCGACTCGCGAGTCCAGCGGACATCCGATGGCAGGTCTATTGTGTCTCAGGCCACCCAATTTTACTGCCTGACTTCACCTGGCATTGGGTGCAAGCGCGTTGGTCACCATTTAATAAACAAACAAACAAACAAACAAACCCACCTGGCACCATTTGCGTTTCTCTCGCTCGCGGCAGTTGAAGCCCTCGAGCTCCTCCTCGGAGCTGTGGTGCGCCTCTGTCTCCAGCTCGGTGTCGGAGCTGAGGGCCGGTGAGGGCCGGCCGGGCCCGCTGGAGGCCGGCGGCAGCGCGCCGCCGGCGCCTCCGGCACACAACGCCTCCTCACTCTCCATCCTCCCCCGCTGACCGCGCCTGGGGGAAGTGGTCAGGGTCACAGGGTAGCCAGCAAGGTCACTGCACGACCCTCAGGCCTCAGGGTAACAGCACAGCCATCAAGGTCACCAGGCAAGGTCACAATATAAGGGTCACAGGGCAGGGTGGCAGATCAGTCAGGGTCACAGGTCAGAGTCAGGGGCGCAGGTGTCAGGGTCCCAGGTGTTGTGGTCACAGGTGTTAGGGCACAGGTGATAGGGTCACAGGTGTTAGGGTCCCAGGTGATAGGGTCACAGGTGATAGGGTCACAGGTGATAGGGTCCCAGGTGATAGGGTCACAGGTGATAGGGTCACAGGTGTTAGGGTCCCAGGTGATAGGGTCACAGGTGATAGGGTCACAGGTGATAGGGTCCCAGGTGATAGGGTCACAGGTGATAGGGTCACAGGTGATAGGGTCACAGGTGATAGGGTCCCAGGTGATAGGGTCACATGTGTTTAGGTCACAGGTGTTAGGGTCACAGATGTTAGGGTCATATGTGCTAGGGTCACAGATGTCAGGGTCAATGACAAGGTGTTAAGATCACAGGTATTTAGGGTAACAGGCATTAGGGTCACAAGTGTTACAATCACAGGTGTTCATGATCACAGGTGTTATGGCTGCAGGTTAGGCAGGTCAAGGTCAAAGATCATGATAGCAGGCAAGTCATTGACAACATGAAGACACATGTTGTGCTTAGTGCTTACAGATAAAAAGACAGGAGCACTAAGGTCAAGGGTCAGAACAACATGAAGGGTTTCAAACCAACAGGATGGCACTACAGGAAACACCCATCAAAGGATTTCCTCAGGAGCTAGATAGCAAAGGGTTTTCTTAAACAGCAGTCACAAGAGGACCAGAAGTGAGTGGTCTGGACAGCACAAAAAATTAAAAAGACTGATTAGAGACCAGAGGTCATATCAGAATGGTTCAAGAAAATTGGTTAGGGGAGGTAACAGACACTGGTTTGGAGATGAGTTGGGAATTCTGATCAGAATGGGCTAAAACATTGGTCAGTGCCCAGTGGTCACAGACACAATGTGTTTCAAATCACTACTGGTCAGAGGAGGTTTCAGGTTAGGAAACAATGGTCAATATCAGTTAGGTACATTGGACAGTGGTTGGGGTCAGCCAGGAACACTGGACAGGATGGGTGAGGAAGATCAGTCTGGGCAGGTTAGGGAACACTTATTAGGATGGGTTAGAAACAGTGGTTAGTGCGTCAGGGTTAGTTATGAGCAATGTATAGGTTAGAAATAGAGGTGGCAAAATGTGGACCCGGGGACCCGGTCCAAAGAACCAGTCTGGACCCATATGGGTCCAGACCGGTTCCTGGAAATTTTCTGACTGGTCCAACGGGTCCTACCATTAACTATACATCTCGCACACTACACATTATTGCAAAATATGAAGTGAATGAAGGGAATGTTTCTTTGCACACAGTACCTCATGAGTATTCTCAGTGGGAAATAGGCTGTTTTACATGATGCAACTAATGATACCTACAAGTAGCTTGTATTCATTGACTTTTGGGAAACGGGTCCAACTGGTTCCGATTCCAACTAAGACCGGGTCCGACTGGTTCCAGAAATGTCCAGCTGGGTCTGGTTCGAGTCTGGTTCCCAAAATTTTCATCTTTTGCCACCTCTAGTTAGAAACATGATTCTGTACAGGTTAGGGCAAAGGTCAGGGCACACACAGTTAGCTAGGAACAATGAAGAGGATGGGTGAGGAGCATGACAGTTCAGGACAAGTTAGGATAAGTGATTAGTGTTTATGGTGAATTAGGAACAATGGATGGGTGAGAAACATGGGTCAGGCAGGTTAGAAACACTGGTAACTGGTAAGGATGGGTTAGGAGCACTGAACAGGTCGAGTGAAGAACATACATCCGGGCAAGTAAGGGAACATTGGTTGGGATGGGTTAGAAGCAATGGTCATGATTGGCTAGGAAATAGGAATGGTGGTTAGGATTTCATAGAAGTTAGGTATTAGGTACTCAGGTGACACTAGACTCAGGAGTCCTCCAGTACCCAGTCAAAAACTCTGTGGGTAGCTACCATGATATCAACAGAAGCTTGATAACTCTGCTTGATGCCTGCAGTACCTAAGAGATATGTCATGGACCAGCCTATGCCTAGACCTAGACAGGCAACTTCCCTGATTAATAGACCATTGAAATTATCTATTATCTTAACTAAAATGCAAAAGAAACTAAGACCATCAGCTGCACAACAGCTGGATCTCATGGGCTTAAGGTAAGCTGAAATTAAATTACCTCATGATGAATAGCTCAAAGTAAAGGGTAATTATTTTTACTGTATGCCTGGCCTATTCAAATACATTAGCCAGAGGGGTGTGGTAATAACTGGTGTAAGCAAACATGACCACGGTCAAAAATGTATTACCAGAATGCACTTAAGCCAACATTTTGGGATGGTCTCGTTCCTAAGTCGGCTAAGAGCTTCGGTCCAGAAAATAAATTTTTCGTTGGCATACAGTAAAATACATACCAAACTCGGCCGGTGATAAATTTTCAAGACCTCAGTCCTTACTGATTTTTGAACTCGGCCTTCGGCCTCGTTCAAAAATCCAGTAAGGACCTCGGTCTTGAAAATTTATTTACACCGGCCTCGTTCAGTATTATATAACAACAAATGAAGATGAAAAATATAAGCCTTATAATAATTGATCTATTCACAAGTTAAACTAAGCCATTTAGTCTTCATTTTGCTCACAATTAACCTAAAAAGGTGGTTAGAATCGTTAGAATATAGACAATATTCAATCAAAAATGCCTGAGAAAAGTTGAAGCTGAATGTTGGAGCTGGCACATTGAAAGTTACCTGTATGTCATAAAACAAAGCAAATGGCCAGTAGTCAACATGTAATATGGATTTTTCAGTGATAAAAAGTAAATTTTAAGCCATTAGATGGTTTAACATTGAAAAGCAGACAAAATACCTTTATAAATACAACATGCCAGCACTACTGCCTCAGGTTAGGGAGGCAGTTAATTATGGGACATGGACCAAGAACAAAGGAAAGTACTGCTGTTTCACTGAATACAGGCATAACAAGCACATAAAATGAAAGGAAATCCAAAGGACTGCATATCGTACCAAAATGAACCTCCAACGCAAGACATAAAAGGCTTAAAACACCTACTAACTATGGGGCGGCTTTCTCAAGGTCAACTTTACGCACGGAAAACCGCCCGAGTACGCCGCACTTGAATGAATGGATTTGGTTCGCCCAACAGATATCTAACGCAGCGAGACATGGAACAGAGCAAGCTAAAGATATGATTTTTATGAAAAAGTGTTTCACATACCTTCCTTTCCTCAGAGGGTCCCAGTCTCGCCGCGCTCCGTCGCTAAATGACCGCCCGCGCACCGCATACCAGGTCTAAACTGTATTTGTATAAAGGGAATATGTGTTGAATATGAGGGGAAAGTAGTAATGACCATTCTGCCTATAAAACTGCCAGAAGGTGTGCTTGTAAGGTGATTGAAACTGCAGTACGGGTTGCAGATGTGGGTTTGACATTAGCATTGTTGTTTTAACCCCACTTGCTCTAATAAAATGGCAACATGGGGTTATGCACACACTATTGCACAGCCTGGTATCAAGCTGGTTGATATGTGGAGGATAATGAAAGCATAAAAGAATAGGAGCGTTGCGTCTTGTGACTTATGTCAAGTCATTTTAAATCAAATGATTGTGATTGTAACTTTTACTTCAATTATTATTGCAAGTTTTGACCTTTTTAATCATCAAATTTTATGTGTACCAATTTCATATGCCTGTGTAATGTCTGTGCGGCTTTGTGCAGTGTGCGTGTCTTGAAACAAACCAATTTAAATTTTGTACCTTTTTGTATTTTAACAAATGTATGTCAAAGGACAAAAATGTCATATCTATTATCATTGACACTACTACAGCTAACCCTGCCTGTATTCCTATCTTTCAGAGGCATTCAATTCAATCTGCTTTCCAGTGCAGTACCAAGGAGGCTGCAACTGAAACTCGCACAAAGGCAATCAAGTGGTACTTCATCAGCCTACAGTAACAGCCCATCTGTAATCAAGATATGGATGAAGGGGCATAGAAGAACAACCAGTTCAAACATGAAAAGATTGTATTTTGTTTTCGATTATTTCTTAGCATAACAGAACAGTACACTTGCTGCTTTTTATGTTTGCCCTGTGTGCAGTTTTGAATAATTTTAACCATGAGATGCTTTTGTCAACTATTCTCTTTACATAAGCTTCCTTTGTCATGCATGTGTAATTTTGAGTTTACATGCATGATGTAGGCACATTTCCCTTGGCTTCATAGAAGTTAAAACTACTTGCAAGCTTTGGTTATGGACATTGGTGCTATATATATGATGCTTCAAATGTGTCCAGTAGTTGATGAAGGGAGAAGAGGAGTAGGACAGCTGATAGCTATTACCAAAAGTATGTGCTTGTCTGCACTTCGGGCTGTTTTGCTTCCTTGAGTTAAAAAACCCTCATCTTTTGTTTCTTTCCTGTGTGCCCATTGTTTCCATGGTGCTATACATAAACGTCAAGTTTGAAGTTGGTACCCAAGTGAGCAAAATGTGTATTATTTAAGTCCGTCTTGAATCATTCGTCTTGAATTATATCCCTAACTGACATCCTGTTATTTGTCCTCCAGGGCTGCGGAGTCGATGGATTTTCGGCGACTCCGACTCCAGACTCCGACTCCGGCTTTCAAAAACCAGCTCCGACTCCGACTCCAACTCCGGGCAGAATTGTCGACTCCGACCGACTCAAACTCCCGGCTCCGACTCCGCAGACCTAGCAGGGCTGCGGAGTCGACAGATTTTCGGTGACTCCGACTCCGACTCCGGCTCGGGTTTCTAAAATCGACTCAGACTCCGACTCCGGTCACAACTGTCGACTCCGACCGACTCCGACTCCGACTCCGACTCCGCAGCCCTGTGTCCTGCAATGTCTGTGCCTGTGTCCGCCCTTACCTCCGGCTCCAGCCTCCAACCAGCCCTGCTGAGCTCTGTCGCCGGCGCGGTGTGTCGCAACGTGCTGTTTCTCCACTCCAGCCGACAGCTGCTAGGAATCGTCCTGTGCCATGCGCCATGCGACACAGCAATTGTAAGCTGCAGGTCACATTCGGACTGATTGGCTCCGCGTATGTGCATCCGGCCGGGAGCTAGTCGATATCAGGGACGTGGGTCGGACTGTTGTGGCGGCGTGCACTGTGCTGGTTGAACTTGTATTTCTGTTAGTGAAAAGCATTAATACATAACCGTGGCCGCAGCCCAATGTTATTGTGGATTTCAGAGGGAGTGGCCAGTCAGGAGGGCCCCATGTGGGTATGGATTCAGTGTCCAGTGGGATTGGCTAAGATTTCCGGCGATTAATAAACGCTTCTATGATAGTAAACCTATTGAGTTATGAGGGGAGGTCACGTGACGGACCTGACCTTACTAAACTCTTGTGAAAACACGACACATACGAACGGTAAGAAACCGACAACTCTTCTTTCTGCCAAGTGTCATCTTTCTGTGAAGGATTTCTTGGCACTGAGTGTTCAGAAATTGCGTTGTTTTTGGACTGTGCAGAGGCTCACGAGCGACAACATAGGTCAACAACCTGACCTACCTTAAATATGCGACTTGTACCATAAGATCCAGCTTGATCAAAAGATAGGACATGTCAAATTTCATCTCTTTATCTCAAAAGAATTTTGAGCTATCGTAAAAACCGCCAGTGTGGCACCATATCGCCTCCGCGCGCGGTCGGAAGGTAAAAGTTCGCCGGCTCTAACTAAACAAATAGTCGTCGTATCGCAAATTCATTGACGGCGTTCGAAGCGTCGTTCAATTTACTTTCGAAACATATCCTAACATTACCATTTAACTGCCTAGCGCAATCACCAACAAGCAAAAGTTCCGCGCATCCCTCCTCATACAGTGTTAGCGGCGGCCGGCCGCCGGCCGCTGACCCACATTCGCGTCATCAGGGAATGCCGCAACTAATTTATTGTTTCCAACTTTTTTCCCGGAGCGTTCTACCTGGTTTATATAGCCTTGGCTCCGACGATTCCACTTGTGTGCGGTTATTCCTCTTCTTTTTGGTGCCCCAGAAATGGGCGCCGCTTATTACCGTATGGGTAAAGGCGTAGAACTGGGCCGTTGAATATAAAATATTTATCATATCGCATCGTTTTCATTTAGTGAATCAGCCTGAATGTAACTATTACAGTGTTAACTACAACTTTTCCAACGAAAAGCCACACATCTATTACTCCAGCAGCTGTAGAGCTTCAGGTCGAACCGTGGCTTTCACACTTCACAGGATCAAACTGAGAGACAGAGCAATTCGACAGTATCAGGAAGAAGGAACAGCAACATTGTTCAAGCACCAACTTCCTTGGACAATGGATACACTGTACCACCACGTTTTCAATAGGCGGGGGGGGGGGGGGGCTCTTTTGGCCCGAGCGTCCGCGACCTCGGGAGAAACGTCCTAGGTCGGCCAGTCAAAACTCGCATACCCAGTGGGGAAATGAGGGAAAGATGAGCTACAACACAGCATGCCCTTGTCCCGTCACGGACGGTCGAATGGCATCAAAGCTCATGATAGCTCACACCAGTGGACGGCAGCTATGGAAAAACAGCGGCGATGGGCGACATACCATCGGGAACAGAACACATTTCCAAACTGAACCAGTGCTTTAAGAGGGAAGACAAGATGACGGTTAGTGCCTACATACATTAGCAAAACGCCCCTTATTACTACGGGCTTTTATTACCTCACGTAAAACAACGCAGGACACAAATTTTTCGGATACACTGATGTTGTCTGCGCTGCGGCTGCGCGGGAGCGACATACAAACAGACTAAAACCGGCCGGCCGGGCCGAAAACGAACCCAACCCGGTATCGGAACCGAACGCCACGCGACACACGCTAAAATAGCACTACCACTGAAGCAAAAAGCTAAATTATCGGCCACAAATCAGGTTTCACGGGTCCGGGGCGTGTTTAGCGGTCAGTAGGGTCTCCACTGGTGGACTGGTGTCTCCTCTGGGCTCCTATCCCCACCCTCCCGGTCCGGCGCGCGCGCCGCTACTCTGACGGCCGGCGCCTCCCGCGGCGGCGGCAGCGGTCCCCGGCCCGCCGCGCCCACTACAGCACTGACACAGGACACTCGCGCGGCGCGGCCACCGCCCGGCGCGCGGCGCCGCGCCTCGCGCACACACACACTCGCAACCAGCGCGCGATTAGTTCAACAACACTCAGAAGACGGGGGAGCGTCGCAGCAGAGGGCGCCACCGCCGGCCCACCTGCCGGCGACAGCGCGATCGGCCCGCCCGCCGGCGCCGCCCGGCACAGCGCTCCGGCCACCCAACACAAAAGCCCGCCCAGCAAACCTAGATTAAAATTTTGGCAAACAGAGGTCAGTGTCCGTGTGTCTGTGTCTCAGTGTGTTTCGCTCTCTCGCTCTCTCGCTCTCGCTCACTGCGTGCCTATACATCAGGGCCGCCGTTTGGGCCAACCTATCAACAGGATAGCAGTAAAATAACGACTCTGGTCTCTGTTCGCCCCGACTGCGGCGCGCCCCGGCGCGGCGGCGGCGGTCTCAGCGCGGCCGGCGCCGCTGCCGCCAGACGGCCGACAGCACGCGCCGCGGACGGAAGAGGCTCGGTTGTGTGCTGTGCTGGTGTGCGGGGCCGGCGCCGGCCGCCTCGGCGGTCGGTCATTGCGGCCCGGCGCCCGACTGCTTTTTGGTCACTATCGACACCACGTCCTCGACGTACTTCCGCCTGGAACGGGCGCGGCGGGGTCAGCAACAAATACTCGATACGATGTATGACTTTAAACGAGCAAACGTGCACACAAAACGGCTAATGGGCCTTCAACGCAAACGACAATGGCCAGTACTTAATACAGTAGCATATCGACAGCTGAAAAGCATTACGAGTACTGCCGTGCAAAGGCAAAAACGCATAACTAACAATTTTGGCAAAATTTGTTTTTTTATACCATTCGATTCGTCTCTATGAGCTACACATGCTCATATCAATATAAAAGTCTATACGTCATTTAATAACTAAATATTTCATATATAAGTTTGGAAAAAGCACACACAACACAATTAGGCAGGCATCCACAGAGGCAAAAACACATAACTTTTACATATCTTCTCCCTGCTGGTAATCGTCTGGATTAAATAATCCTCCTTCCAAAACAAAAACGCATATCTGTTGCAGATATGCGTATTGTTGGTCTCCGTGTGCAGTAATGTCTTTGCATTCCAAGACAAAAACGCATATCTGTGCAGATACGCGTTTTTGGCTTGGTAAACAGTGAACGAGCAACGTAGATGTGCGTTTTTGTCGTGGTGGAGCGATTCTCAATTATGTTCATTCGACGAACTTTGCAGATATGCGTTTTTGACCGCTTCTCCTGAGCGGAGGTATCGTAGTGAAACACGTGATTCTTATTTCGATGAGTGAGTCAGTCGTGAAAAGGGAAAGGCTCGTAACCAATATTATTTGCGAATGCAAGTTCTTGAATCATTGGATTCCACTATATCACAAAGAGGACAATGAGATGATCCATTCCATTCAAGTCGGGGGGCCCCTAAATCGCCTAATCATTAGACCGCCGGAGACCGTGTTAAAATGAGATGAAATAAAGATTAAAAAGACCGGGAGGGCCCATCTCGTTCCCCAGCAGTCTCATGAGTCCATAAAATGCCTAGTAGCGCAGCCAGGGTGATTGTGGTGAAATTGCAATGGCACTCAAAAGGCCTCAAAGGGCCCTCGGATGGCGTGACAGGGTCCTCGGATGGTCTCGAGGGCCATCAGTTAGCGTCAAATGGCCCTCATCTGGTGTCAAAGGGCCCTCAGATGGCCTCAGGGCCCTCAATTAGCGTCAAAGGGCTTCATCTGGTGTCAAAGGGCCCTCAGATGGTGTCAAGGGTCCCTCAGATGGTCTGAAAGGGCCCAAGATGACCTCAAAGGCCTTTCAAATGGCCTCAAAGGGCCCTCACCAACGTCAAACGGACCTCAGAAGGCCTTCAAGGGCGTCAAATGGCCCTGAGCTGGCGTCAGAGGGCCCTGAGCTCGCGTCAAACGGCATTCCGAAGGCCTTAAAGGGTCCTTAGCTGATGTCAGAGGACCCCCAGCTAGTGTCGGAGGGCCCTCAGCTGGCGCCAAATGGCCATCAGAAGGCCTCAAACGGTCCTCAGCTGGAGTCCAACGGTCCTCAGCTGGCGTCAAGCGGCCCTCAAAAGGCCTCAAGGGGCCCTTAGAAGGCCTCAAGGGGCCCTCAGAAGGCCTAAAATGGCGTCAAAGGGCCCTGAGCTAGCATCAGAGGGCCCCAGCTGTTGTCAGAGGGATCTGAGCTGGCGTCAAACTTAAAGAGCCCTTAGCTGGTGTCAGAGAGCCCCCAGTTGGTGTCAGAGGGTCCTCAATTGGCGTCTAATGGCCATCAAAAGGCCCCAAACGGTCCTCAGCTGACGTCAAGAGGCCCTCAAAAGGCATCAAAGGCCCCTCGGCTGCTCCAAAGGCCCTTAGAAGGCTTCAAAGGGAACTCAAGAGACGTCAAACGGCCCTCAAGAGAACTTAAACGGCTCAAAATTCAAAAGTCTAAAGGCTTGAAAGGGCCCTCTGCTGGTGGCAAAAGGCTCGCACCTGACGTCAATAACAGCCTCGTCAAAAACGGACCTGGGAGACTAGAGATGTCAATCGGATACCAACTTTTTGGTATACCGATACCAAACCGATACCAACTTGGTATTTGGTATTTCAATCGTAATGTGTTTGGTATTTGCCATTTGGTTGGCATCATAAACCCTCACTAATGTATAAGAGGCTAAGAAAACGGTAAAACGTTGGTATTCCCTCATTTTCCCAAGTTGGTTTGGTTTTGGTGTTTTCCCGTGGTTTTGGTTGGTATTTGGTTTGGTATCGGTATTCCGATTTTCCGTAATTGACATCACTATGAGAGACCTTGCCGGACCCTGGTTATCTGAGGGACTCCTACAGTTGCCTAAGAGGCCTCCATTTACTGAGGGGGCCCTGGTTATTTAAGGGGTCCCTGGTTACTTGAGGGGCCCCTGGGTACCAGAGGTTCCCCTGGTCACCTGGTGGGCCCCTGATCAATTGAAAACCCCTGGTCATATGAGAGGCCCCTGATTACCTGAAGGGTTCCTTCCTGATCACTTGGATTCAGTGGCATAGCCAGGAAGCGAGGGGGCACGTGCCCGTTCTCGGGTTTAGGGTTCCTTCGAACCCGAGGGGCCCTGCGGCGCCAGTTGGTGGCAGAGGGTTCGTGCTAGCCGCGCTTCAACTCGGAAAGACACCACAGGGCTTGTGAGAGCACGTAATTGGCTCCTATTTAGCCACACTTATCTCCATAAAGACCCAATGCCGGTTTATGAGAGACCTTGCCGACATCTGATGGCCCTAGTAACGGCCAATGAGGGATCAGCTGCAATGGCTCCACATCCGTCTGTGATAGCCCCACGGCCCACAACAGTGTTTCTAAAAGCCACCACGACGGCACCTGCGAAGCTCCTCACGCCACCTCCAAGGAACCCACACCAGCGCATCTAAAGGGCCTACATCGGCCTGGCGGCTCTGAGGGCCACGTACCAGTGCCTCTGAGGGCCTCTTACCACCCTCTGAGTGTCCTTGCCAGCCTATGAAGGGCCACTTTCCACTTGCAGGCCACTTTGCATGGCCACACACATGCCAATGATGGCCCCACCAGTATCTCTAAGCCTTGAGACCCCGCAACGGCGCCTGTGAGGACCCAAAACTAACGCATCTGACGGCCTTTCACTGGCACCTCTGAGCGCGCCACACACCGGTGACTCAGAGGACGGCGACTCAGAGGAGCTCGCTCGCTTCTCTCGCTCGTAAAATACTATGCACCTTAGACATTAGTGTATATTAGGGACACTCCTCGGGCATAAATGATACATTTACTTGCCAATTTTCCACATTTTCTCACGACAAAGACCGTTTTAAAGAGGCCCGTCTGCCAGTGGGACTAGACCCACCGTGCCCCCTCCCCCTTCCCATCTAAAAGTCCTGGATACGTCCTTGCCTGGGCTGACCCCGGGCCCCCGGATGACTCGCGGGCCCCTTCAAGAGCGGGTGACCCCTTCTTGGGCGAAGTCCTGGGTACGTGTCTGACGTACATCGTACATAGTCCTTTTGATTTGATTCATCGGTTAAATATTTAATATAAGCTATAAGCTGGATTTCTGGTCTGTGATCTCGCATCGTATCAGATATAATGACATTGCATGTCAATGTGCCTAAATAAATACGCGAATATACGTGAAAAAGAGTGCTGCTCCCGCTCCTACACATCCGGACCAAACAGTGACTGGCCCCTGCTTCCAGCCACCCGGGGCCGGTCGGCCGGCCGGCAGTTAGTCGCTGCCCGGGGCTGATTTCTGAGGGACTTGCAAAAACGTTTATTAATTGAATGTTTTACCATGTTTTACGTAATGACTTAGATGATTAGGTATATGTACCGACTCTGAGACTGTGTCCCCTTTAAATATAACATGCCAGCGTAAAACAAATATTATACATGTTTTGAAAATTAAGCTGGTGTTTTGCCATGCATTGACAAAAGCTAAAGCTTCAACGCAAATAATTCATCCAGCAATTACTCTATTAGCGTGAAATGTTCAGTGCATGATTTCTTTCAGAAAAAAAAAATAGTGGCGCATGTTGCCGTGTAAGCATCAAGTCAATTGGCCCAAAGCTTTGCTAATAACAAAAGTGTACCTACCGTGTGTAAAAAACATCCCGCCGCCTGGCGCCGCGGCGGCCGTTATCCTAATATAAGGCCTTGCCCGTTATTAGCCGCCTAAATTATAGACTGTGCCGGCGCCGGACATTTCCATCTTTGCAATGCGCTGTAACCGCTGATAATAATCGATTCGCTTCTAAACCCCAATGGAACCTTGCAGATGTACTGGCAATTTAATGGTCAAAGAAATACGAAAATCGGCCGGTAAAATTTTGAGTTACGAGGGTTTACCTATGCACGAAATTGCGGCAGAAACTTTCCGCGTCGGCTGATCCCGCCGTAACCGGAACAGGTCTTACTCTTAGCACAGTTCTAACTGCCATTTTATGGTTGTATAATATTAACTAGATTTTCTCAATATGTACTTAAAAATGTATTTGCTATCATATAGTGAAAGAAATAAGAAAATTGGACGCCAACTTCGGCATGTAAAAACAAAGTAGGTATATAGTGCGCCTCCTGTGCCAAAATTTACCCCTGTTTGAAGGAACTCATTGGAGTCTAACCCCCCCCCCCCCCCCCTGGAAGACTGGAAACGCACGGATAATGTGAGTTGATATACGCCGAATTGCGATTTCGGCCAAACACGGTCTTGAGAAATAAGTCACAGCTCAAAGGTCATTTGGGTCAAGGTCATCAGATTGTTTCGAGTAGGTGTAAAATTTCTAAATTCGAGGGCAAGTAAAGTTTTGTTGCGATCGGCCGCTTTTTGCGCGAGTTATTCTCGAAAAACCGAGGGGTCCATACTCCATACGACCCCTCCCCCGCTCTACAAGTGCGAGGGTTAAAAGGCCGGCAACCTTTTTACGGAACCCGGCACTTGCGTGAGGATCCACGACAGCGTCACAACATTATGTATACCAACGCACAAACGTCTTGCCAGCTATGTGAATCTGCATCTCCCGTATTGATCACAGGGTGTGGTCAGTTACGTGTGCATATGTGTTTACGGGCATAAGTTTTGTATGCACGAGCCACGAAACAACAAGCGTATCATCCAATATGTTAGTTGTCTAGTTCGATAGGACGATTGTGGCAATTATGCACATCTTACTATACGTCTCTTTTCCAGCTAGATGGTGGCGTCTGTGTCCAATGGCACGTGCGCATATCTCCCAATACGCGTATTTGCCTATAGTGCTACTGCCTTGTGCCGAGTGGCAAATACGCATATCTACCGTTGTGTGGATTTGCCCAGATACGCGTTTGTTGTTGGCATGGGTCACCCCCGCAAAGAAAATATTGCAATGGCAGAAAAACTTTTATGTAATTATATGAATATTAATTACTTTTGGACTATGATACGCATGTACATAGGTAGAGCGCGTTATTCGGTTTCAAATGATATATACATTGCTGCGCTTTTGGTCAATGGAAGACCACAATGACCGAAAAACACAAAACTCGCCACTGTGTAAAATTTTGTGCTGACAGAAAAATGTTAGATATGCGTTTTTGCCTTTGCACGGCAGAGTAGCAAGTAGCTGTATCGTCACGGACCTTTACATATGATAGATTGGATATATTGATGGGTTTGATATTGATAAAACGTAAAATATACCAGCTGAAGTCTGTGACTGCTGTTTAAAAACACAAGCCACCGATCAGAACAGCAAAACTTCGCCTGAAAGCAATCCAACAACCCTCCCGTTTCCCAAACGGACCCCAAACCAGTCCTGACGCCCACCATCCCGAGGTATCCCCTCTCGGTCTCACATGGAGGCCAGACCGCCGCCGTCGGGCAGGTCTGCGATCTTCTTGCTGTCCAGGAAGGTCATCAGCTCGGGCATGCTGACCCGCGGTCCGTCGTCCTCCTCGTCGTGAGCGTCCTTCTCGTCCTCGTCCGCCGGGCGCGGCGGCACCGGCTCCACCGCGCGCAGGTACTCTGCAGGGGACGAACGGGGCAGGTCAGGGCAGGGTCAGAACGCGGCGGAACCTGCTCCAAGCTGCGCGCAGGTACTCTGAGGGGACGAACGGGACAGGTCAGGTCAGGTCAGGGCACGGCAGGGCAGCGGCGACACTGGCTCCACGGCGCACAGATACTCTGCAGGGGACGAACAGAGCAGATGCGGGCAGGGTAGGTAAGGCAGGGCAACGGCAGGGGCAGGTGAAGGCAGAGCGAAAGCTTGGCAGAGCACAATGATTGCAGGTGGGTACCCTGGATAATGCTAGGTCAGACCAGCGCACACATCGACAAGACAAAATCCGTGGGTAACAGATCAGGTCAGCCTCAGAACACAAGGGCACAACTAGTGGAGTACTGGCAGTGGAAGAGTGAAAAATCGACAGTGTGCAGCAAAGTCAGTCGTTTACATCAGCCGATGCACCAGTTCTGAATTTAGCCATAACAGCGTCATCCGTTGCCATGGTAACCTGGAGGCTCAACAAAGGCAGCAGACCGTCGCTACGGACAATTAACCAATAAATATCGAGAACGGCTAGCGTCTAACGACTGCTGACGTCATCAATCAAAGACGGCGTGTCGTCAGCTCACGTGATGGCGGCCAGCCGCTCGGATCCGTTGTTGCTTCTAGTGGCGCAATCGAGACCTCACTGCAAAACGCTGCCTAGGTATGCATCACAGGGCACGGGTATGACCCACGGAGGAGTCATCGGGTTGTATCCTGTTACTTCTTATCACACGCTCTCGGTCACGCTCGTCACACTTTGTCATTATTCGTGACAATCTTTGGAACACAGCGGAAACCACATCCCGGCTACGCTGATAAGATCCCATCCGGAACGCATTTATCTAACCATTCTGATATCGAGACAAATAAAGAGCAACATAGTGATGCATCGCTACAACTCACGGTCTGTCGGATAAGGGCAACAAATGTCTTCATTCGTCAGCCCGGTATCCATATTCTGAGGCGGGACCGCGAATGCGACCTATCTCCATGGCAGCAGCGCAGAGAACAGCGGTAGGTTGGTGACCTCACCTCCCCACACCGTGTCGCCCAGTTACAGTGGGGGCGATGAGGGGCACAGGGGGCACCCCGGGCCCGGGCCACGAGGGCACAACACTGGTGGGCCGGTTACGGACGTGATCGGACGGGTAAGCTATCAGAGCCGTGTCAATCAAATGGTCTGGAGTGAAGAGCTGTCATCAATGATCGACTATTACAAACACTAGACAGTGATATGAATAGGTCGCGACATTGATGCTGGTTTGCTTCGACATCATGGTTAATAGAGCACAAACAAATATTGAACACACGTCGAAAGGTCTGAGTTGTTGATCGGTTAAAACTAACATGACACAAGTATGATGAAATCAAATAAAATTAAGTCCAGCACTACTCAGGTTGGCAGTAAGCCTGCCATACTGTCACTTACGGTCTACGATATAACTTTCAGACCCACCCAAAGACAACACCCGAGGCTAGCGTTAAATAACCGTTTGGGTGCGATCCAAACTACTGCAATTTCTATACCGTTTTGTCTTTCAAAACAAGAGATATAAGAGCCAACATTTCGCACTGGTTAACAGGTGTTCCAAATTGCTGGTTTTGGCCACAGTTGGTCACTCGGACAAAAAGCATTATAGGTCTGACGTAAAGATAACTTTAACTGTCCCTAATGCTGAGTAAATGACGAAATATCATCCGCGGTCGGACTGAGAACTTTTCATCAACATCGCCAATCGCCCATAGTCTGGTGACTCAGCGTCGCGATTATCCAGCTCCTGGCAGACATCGCATCAACCGTTTGGCACGGAATAAACACATCTCGACGGTTTATTACCGGTTATTTATCCGGTTATGAGGCACGCCGAGACAAAGTACAGGTTCTTTTTACGAGTATCCGTCCACCAGAGTTCGGAACATAGGTGATTGGAGGGGGGGGGGGGTCGGTCGAAGGAGTTCGAAACATAGGTGATTGGAGGGGGGAAGGGGACGGTAGAAGGAATTCGACTTCGAGGCTATCTTACCCTATTGCATCGTGATCATTGTTTAGCATGTGTTTCCATCTTAGCAAAATAGTTATCAGCCCTATTATTCGTCTAAAATTCCCCCTAAAAAAAAAAAATAAAGACCCTGGCAGCAAAACACAACACAATTCCCTAAAAAAGGACGGACAGCATCAATACTCAACAAAACGACAAAACGGCCATACCATTTTAAAGCACACGTATTTTAACATCCACCCCAACGGCTATTGGCCACTGCCTAACATACGCTCCCGAGCCCGCCGGGCACTCCAAACCTTTATCAAACCTTCACACCACATCATCTGCGCTACCGATCCCCAAAAGACCCCCACCCCCTCCGCCCACCGAGGGCCCACATGACTAACCTTCCACGTGTTTGGCGACGCTTTGTTTCATGGCCTCCTCTCGGGCCGCGGCCGCGGGGTCCACCTTGGGCGCTCCGGGAAACACAATCACCACCGTGCTCATGTTATCCTTGCTCCCCTGTGGACAGGGAGAAAAAGGGAGGGAGGGAGAGAGAGAGAGAGAGAGAGAGAGAGAGGGAGAGAGAGAGAGAGAGAGAGAGAGAGAGAGAGAGAGAGAGAGAGAGAGAGGAGAGAGGAGAGAGAGAGAGAGAGAGGAGAGAGAGAGAGAGAGAGAGAGAGAGAGAGAGAGAGAGAGAGAGAGAGAGAGAGAGAGAGAGAGAGAGAGAGAGAGAGAGAGAGAGAGAGAGAGAGGGGGGGAGACACAGGCGGAGTTTGAGTCAGAAAAGGCACGCTATGTTGTGTTGGCCGACAGTCGACACATGACTTATTGTGCCATCAGGTGGTCCATCATTCCTTCGCTGATGCTTATTGGAATTGTTGATACTTATTGATGAAACATACGTTGTTATGACGTCATTAATTTAACAGTCCTGCCGAGCATGTTATGGTTGTTATCGGTACAGCGGTTGAATAATTGACGCAATGGTGTGAAAATTGTTTCGTGCGCATGACTGGGCATTCTTTCATCAAAAAGTTGACGCGATTTGCTGTAGAGAGGGAGAAAAGTTTGGGTTATGAAAATAAAGCCGGAACTGAAAACTAGACATATACAAATAAATTGGCTGTGACAAGTGACAACTGATCAAGAAATGACAACGCTAAAAGCAACAATAGAAGGCGATGCACGTTACTAAGTTATAATATGGGCTATGGCAATAATAATATCATGGGATGCACGAATTTACCCTCGGCAATGATCTTGGCAAAATTGTTGGACTAACTCTCCCCACAGGGGAAAAATATATTAGATAAAATAACCATGAAAATTGAAAAGTAACAAGGATAAGGCCAATTCTTTCATTCTTTTTTTTGTGCGTCGTATTCAGGGCCTTTACACCTCTGCGTAAGTGAAATAATTGGATTCCTCTACATCCATTAGTGTGGCACAGGAGCGGCTTCCTCGGTGGGAAAGATAATAAGGTTTTTGAGTGCGTCGAGGCCTGTGAAGCCATTTTGGCCGAGCAGCGGGACAGTACCTCCTACACACGTACAAACTGACCTAGCCGGAGCAAGTATAATGAAAATTCAAAGGAACACGAGCGCAATATTGCCATGTCGTACTTGGTTCCTATCCAGACTTGTGACAGCTCAAGAAAAAAGTGAGCTCGCTCAGCTCAACTCCGTCTTATCCGCTCCCGCTCAGCTCCCGCTCAGTTTAACGCGGCTCAGCTCAGCTCACGTTCCGCTCAAACCGGCTGCGCTCCGCTCACGCTCAGCTCAGCTCAGCTCAGTTTCCGCTCAGCTCAGCTCAGCTCAGTTTCCGCTCAGCTCAGCTCAGCTCAGTTTCCGCTCAGCTCAGCTCAGCTCAGTTTCTGCTCAGCTCAGCTCAGCTGTTTCCGCTCAGCTCAGCTCAGTTTCCGCTCAGCTCAGCTCAGTTTCCGCTCAGCTCAGTTCAGTTTCCGCTCAGCTCAGTTTCCGCTCAGCTCAGCTCAGTTTCCGCTCAGCTCAGTTCAGCTCAGCTCAGTTTCCGCTCAGCTAAGCTCAGCTCAACTCAGTTCCCGTTCAGCTCAGCTCAGTTTCCGCTCAATTCAGCTCAGCTCAGTTTCCGCTCAGTTAAATTCAATGCCACCCATTGCCGAATGCCGAATGCCACCCATATCTCCGTAACGTGTCGGGGTCCGGCCAATGACGTCACGGCAATGCGTGTGCTGATTGGTCATGGACATCGAATCATCGGGACACAGGTCGGGACATCACGCCGCAGTGGATAAGGATGCCTACCAACCGAACGGCTTACAACGGTGCGAACGGGGTGCAATAGAGGAATGTAGCGATTTCCCGACCGATCGCTTCAGTTTGCGGTGTCGAACTACATGGCCTTTCACCTAGTGACGTCTTTGGTTTGTATATAATATTATTTCCAGTTTATCATGTTTCTAGTGTTTATAGTGTATCAATATTCAATGCACATTGCATTCGGTTTTATATTTTTATCCGTTCTCATCATCTTCCAGTGTACCTACTAGAACTGGATCTCAGCTCAGCTCAGCTAAATCAGCTCAGCTCAATCAGCTCAGCTCAGCTCGCTCAGCTCAGCTCAGCTCAGCTCGCTCAGCTCAGCTCAGCTCGCTCGGCTCAGCTCAGCTCGCTCAGCTCAGCTCAATCAGCTCAGCTCAGCTCAATCAGCTCAGCTCAGCTCAGCTCAGCTCAATCAGCTCAGCTCAGCTCAATCAGCTCAGCTCAGCTCAGCTCAAGCTCATTCAGCTCAGCTCAGCTCAAGTTCATTCAGCTCAGCTCAGACAGCAGCTCAGCTCAATGCATTACTGAGCCGGCTCAGCTCACAGCTCAACAATTTGGCAAAATGTTGAGCCGGCTCATGAGCTGAGCTGATTTTTGAGCCGGCTCAACTGAGCTGATCACAAGTCTGTTCCTATCGATGTGAAGAAGCTGAATTTACGCGATATAAAAGCAGTTCGTGGTAACTGGTTAGGTAAGTTGGCGATAAGAAAAAGACAATCTAGCGTTATGAAATGTCCGTGATATGGCGATGAACTTGAGATGAGGAATGTTGAAAAACGCAGCACACAATGAATTATAAAACAACTCAGAACACGTTTCCTCACTAAATCTAAGGGAAGAGAAGACTAGACGTTACTCATGACGCCTGTCAATATGATTGAATGAATGGGTGAATGAATGAATCAATCAATCAATGGATCAATGAACGAATCAATAAATCAATCGATGAAACTTCTACTACGCACCCAAAGCCTATGGCCCTGCCGGACTGGGCTGTATAGGCCTCTGATGCCCCACAGAATCACTCACCTTATAGAAGCAGGTATCGAGGATCTGGTTCACCACCTCATCCAGTTTATCCGTCACCCTTAACCGGGAGCGCACGAACTGACACAAGTCTGTGTTATCGAATACATCCCAGACGCCGTCACAGGCCAGCACCAGAAACTCGTCATCGGCCTGCCTCTTCTCTACGTACACCTCCGGCTCAGGAGACACCAGCTGCTCGCACTGGCCCTTGCCGGAGACATTCTTGTAGTCGTAGTCGCCCAGCGCGCGGGACACGGCCAGAGAGCCGTTGACGCGCTGGATCATGACGTTGCCGCCGGCCTTTTCGATGCGCTCCTTCTCTCCGGGGTTGATGGGCTTGTGGTCGGTGGTGCTGAGCGCGATCTCTCCCCGGCGACACATGAGCGCGCGAGAGTCGCCGCAGTTGGCCACGAACACGTGAGTGGGTGAGACAAGCGCGCAGACGGCCGTCGAGCCCGACTTGTCCGTCTCGACGTCGGGTTCGGAGCGCATTCGCTCATCAAGCCGGAGGAAGCCGGAGACGAGTCCGGATCGGACCGACTCAGCCAGCGCAGTCTCGTCGCCGGCCAGCTGCCGCAGTGTCTCCGGAGACATCTGCTCACTCTGCAGGATGTGCGAGAGCAGCGTTTGCGAGCAGAACGCCGACACCTTGCTGCCGGCGTGGCCGTCGAACACGGCGAAGAAGGACCAGTCTCGCAGCTGTTCGCTGACGCCGCTGACCGCGCAGTGGGCGTCCTCCATCTCTGTGCGCCATCCCTGCTCGGAGGCCAGCGCGTACTGGAGACCGTTACCGGAGCCCGTCTCAGTGTGCTTCTCCGTGTTGGGCTTGTCCAGGAAGGCGCCCATGGCGGGGCCGAGGTGGCCGGGCGGCCGGTCGGGGGTGTCAGGTCAGCAGTGGCGGCTCAGGGGGCGGACCGGCACCGGTAGAGGGGACGGCAGCGGGCGGAGAGCGCCGGGGATGTCCGAGAGAAGGGCCGCCAGTCGGCTCGGTACGGGATCTGCAGATAAAGAACGAGACGGTCAAGAGAGCTGGAGCTCGAGATCACTGGGAAAGGAGCAACACATATCTGCTGACATAACCACCGGTAATCAATAACGACACATTTCACTGCACAATCGTGAGTGGAAACAAGAACGCGATTTCAACACTGCAAAGCACAAACTCACATGAAAACACTGGCTTGACATATCAAATAACTTTCATTACACTCTAGAAAACCACACCTCAAGCGACCGAAATCGTATCCTCACTTCTAAGCCAGATCTAGCCAGTAAGTACCGCGACAAGACCACTATGAGGCGCGCTACTGCCGCCACAGCGTAGCTGACACGTGGCCGATCTATCTTATCTCGATAGGGCGTCGTCACCGTCAGCACAGAACTGGCCCGGGCCGTGGCCGAGTCATTCGGTCATTGTCGATTGCTCTCTTCGCGTTCATAACGTTGTGAATTACACGTCAGCTCTCGGATAACCAGCTAGAGACCCGATCTACCAAATTCTTAGAATATGGCTGACCATTCTCGCTGCCAAGGTGTGGCCCATGGCAACTATCTGCCATTCATACGACCGATAAGATATCAGCGATCGACCGATCAGTCGGAAAAAAAATCAAAGGAAGTGAGGGATTGCACAACTTTTTGTAACGTGGTATTCGTAGTCACTAGAGCACAGAACCAGTCGGGACAAAGATCGCTAGTACGTAATTGATCACATTGAGCGCTAGCAGCTGTATTGAAGTAAGTGTTCACGCCAAGATGATAAGGGAAGGTGGCGGCGCTGCCAAGGGTCGATAATTCATCGAAGCAGTGATGGACCGGTGGTGACGACAAACAAAAACACTTTGATAACGATTTCGATAGATAGCTAGTTTTCACGGATTATCGGCAGAAGCGAAACAAAACAAACAGAAAATAGCATCAGCCCAAAATTCATTCTAAAACTCTTGAGCACATGACAATGAAACATTCATCGATTTCCCAAAAGATGTGAATCCCGAACGCTGAAGCTAAGCTGCGGCCATACGGTTCGTGCCATAGAGCCAGCTTTTCTCGGAAGCCCCGGAAACCGCTCGGTCGGTCCGCCGGCACGGGACAGGGCTTTGTTACTCCGAGAACACGCAAAGCCGGCCAGACCGGCGGCATACCGGCGGCACAAAGCAGCGTCTCCGGCCGTCCTACGACCGCGACAGGACCTGTGAGGGCCCCGGCGGGAACCCCCGGCCATCTCATGCATAGATGACGTCAGACAGCTCTAGGCCGACCGCAGACTACAGGACAGATGACAGAATGGCGGTGTTTGGGGGTGGTATCGCTGTCCAGTGACTAGTGAGGCAGCGCAAAAATCACAGGATACGACGCTATCAGAGTCGAATGTTTTCGAGCAAGTCCGTGTGCTATACCTATAACAGTATTTCTTAATGCTGAAGGTAAAACCCTAGTTGAACAAATCCATTCATTTAAATTTTAAACTTGCAAAAAAGGCATTGAAGTAATACTTCTGCACAGAAAGTGCAAATATGTAAAGTGGGAAAGAACCCGATCTATTTACGCAAAAAATGCGGACGGATTGTGAGGTGCTGGCTGGTGTCTTTTACCCCTGCAAGAGGGCGATGTTTACTGCTTGCTCATCTCGTTGGATCCAGCATATCACATGGGAATGATCTGATACAATGGTTATTGAAAGGGAATTTCACCCAAGTCTCCCTCACTGTTAACTCGTAGACTACATACATACCTAGCGGAAATAGACTGGTTCAATGCTCCTCAAAACTACTACAAAACGACATGAAACAAAACACGACATACTTTGTGGATAATAGCAAGAAAAGTTTTATATAGCAAGCAATGGCTCATTTACGGGCTTCTCTTCCATAGCATGTCATCAGACGTCAGATCCAGGTTTACGGTCGCACTCGCGACTTGACCCGGCCGAACTTGTCGTGTTGCAAAGTAGTCGATAAGTTTGGACAAGTTCAATCGAGTTTTTTTTTGCCCAGGTCGATATCGTTTGTTCAGTAGCTCATTTGATAGGGCGGTTGATTTCTATAGGTTTAAGCCCAGCTTAGAGTCCCTCTGGCACCCAATATATACATTTTTTAAAATAAATTTAGTCTGAACATTTTGAATGGAAGGATTCACAAGGACAGAGCCCCGCTAAGCATAGCTTGTTTCGGTGAAGCGGTGACCCCGCCTTCTACCCTCCGATCGCGCAATTCCTGCTCTATGGCTGAATTTGGAGTCCAAAGTTTAACGTGCGAACATAGCTGCGCACGGCCGGTCCCCTCACTGACTTGAACCCAGACTGTTATAGCCGGGAGCGCGTGCTCCCACCACGCGGAGTCCAACGCTCTACCAACTGAGCTACAAGATATACGAGACTCCTGATGGGAATAGTCTGCAGTAAGGTGGGAGCAGCCACAGCACTTGAGGTTAGTCGAGTGAAATGCACCATGTCCTGCCATGAGGGTACATCTGTATCTATGGAAAACTTTATCTGATACCTAACCTAGAATTTCCTGACATGTCACTGGTTGGGACCCACTAACAAAAATCTGCTTAGCACAGACACTGACATTGTCAATCCACTTTTCAGAATGTTTCAGCTATAGCAGGAAAAAAGATGAATTGATGAATGCATTTTATCATTTGGCTAGGAGACATTGAAACTGCTAATAATTGCTCAGTAAGTTTAGCTCTGGTACCTAATACCTAGTGACCATACAATGCTGTAGGAAGTTATGAATGGTCATCTGTTTGAAACAATAAATAGTTGCTTGATCAAAATAATTCAACTTATATTTGAGCTATTTTCAGCTTTGCACACTTCATTAGACAATCCAGCACATGCACTCAAAGTGATGACAATGAATGGATAAATTTTCATGTACATTGACTTAAACAAGGCAAATGATAATACCATAGCTGCACTATACCAAGACTTCGAGGCCTGGAGGCAGCAGTTATAGCAGCTACTGTAGTGATAAAAAACTAACTATGGCCTACATATGACCTGTGGAACTCATTTTGAGGGTAATAATATGGAATAATGCAAAGTAGCATTTTGAACTCTAAATGCCTCTAGTTGTCAAAGTAAAATACTTCATTGGAGACTCTTGGTTCTCCAGACACTAAGGTGTATATTTTAAGGCAATCTTTAAATTCTGGCAGCAACTTATAATGTTAAACTGATGAAAGATTCTAGCTAGAGGTATTGTGCTGATAAATCAAACAATTTACTTAAGCTAGAGCAATAACCGAGATTCAAAGAGACTCGATGAGAACGGGTCCAAAAGGCCTCTGGCCTCCCAAAGTCCCGCCAACAGTAAGGTAAGGTAAGGTAAGGTAAGATTATGCATCAGCACTTGCACTTGACTGACAAATAAGCCCGACATTGAGATAATTTTAATGTTCAATCAGAAACAAATCACCTAATTTGGTTCATGTCTGAAAGAGAAAGTCAATTCAAATTGCATGTTTAGCCACAATACATGCACGCACCTACAAGCTGCGCCAATTACAAAGCCAGCCTGCGCAGTGCGCAGCACGACCAAGACGCACAACTCACAGCGCGCAAACTCAATTAAGGAAATATAGGCTAAGGCATCTACTCATGTTAATGTCATAATTTTATTTCTTGCAGGTATTTAAGCCAGATGATACATGTCTGTAAGAAATCCATTGAATTAGAATAGCGCATCAAAATTAACTCAAGGGAAAAAAGACCAAGCCAAAAACAACAAGCTGTTTCATTTCAGCAATTAAGGTAGGACAGGACTTAGAGACACTAGTTGAATATAATGCTTCACTCACCAGTTGACAAACAAAAATCCTCTTATCATTAAAATGAGATCTTATCATTGGCAACCGTAACACCAGCGTGCTTTTCTTCTGCCCCCAATGTAAACAATACGGACCAAGGCGAGATGCGCCATTTATTGTCGATCAAATTTCTTTCCATTATCAATACCCATGATCAGAAAATGCAACTGCTTTGGGCTTTGAATTATATGTATGTTGAGAATGAGCTTCAAAAGTTGCTTATCAAAACATTTATTACCGTTCGAATGAGTCCTATGCTCGTTATCCGACCCCTGTGCTTCAGCGCAGGCGCCTCGCCAATGACGTAAGATTTAGCCAATCAGAGGTGAGTAAGCAACTGGTCCTTTTCGATAGTTGAATAGTATGCTCGAAAATGAATGAATGCCGTTTTGATGCCGTTATCCTAAGGGGATAAGCTTGTCTATAAAGCGAAAAACTCAAGTGTTTAACTTGAAATGAAGTGAGCCTTCTAACAAAAATACCCCAATCGTTATTCACCGGAGCTTCTACTATTAGTCAGCCTGCTATGCCCTTTCTATCATGATAGATCATTGTATTGTTGCTCATTATTTCAAAATTTGAGTTTATATTCATTTCACTTAATTTGGGCGAAGAAATACCATAACTGTATCTGCCTACTTCAGGTTTAGCTCATTCCATTTTTGCAGATGTTGAAGTGTAAGGCAACTTTAAAATTAGCTGCGGGTTTCGATTATATATTGTCACAACTGCGTATTAGATGTATTTTCTGCATTCTTCCTTTCTAGTTTACCCCCATGCAAGACCCCCATGTTTTATTCTCTGACATCCCACTTTTTTTGGGATAATAACAGCCGCTCTCAAGGTAAATGAGTGTACCATCCAATTAAAATTAAACGCGCTCAATTTATCATTAAATACATTTTATGCTACAGGATAAGCTACTCAGCTTATTCATGTAATTTTCAGTAATGAAGAGTTTGTGAAGCTGAAGTCACTTTGAATTCTAAATCTGCCATTTATATGCATTTCAATGTTAATTTCTTTTTTTGTGTTAGAGTTAAATCTTGGGAGGAAATAACATTAGGGATTGATAACCCAGTCGCTCATGAAAGTTCTTAAAAAGGTTTATATAAGGCTGGTTGACACAAGCCAAAGAAACGAACTAGTGGAGGAGTCGAGTTTATGAATTGCTTCACTGAAATTAGTTAATCCTTGGACCTCTATGGACTTGTTAATTTCCTTTTGGTCAAAGTAAACTTAAAATATGTCTGTTGTATGAGCTTCCATAAGCAAGTTTTCAAGTAGGTGCATGGAGTTCATATTACAGGGCACAGCACGTTGTGTTAGCTGTGTTATGTAACACATGCTTGAGTTATGTATGTAGATGTTTGTAATATTCTGCACTAATATTTCCCTTGCATGTCCATTTTAACAGTGTCATTTATGTAATTTCACAGCACTGAGTGCCAGGGAGCTGCAGATTCACTGCAGCCATGGCAGGGAATCTAGCCAAGGCAATAGCATCTGGCTCCCTGAACCTCTCCAAGACCCTCCTCAATGGGAAGTCACCAGCCATTCTTGCCAGGTAAGGCTTAACAAAAACAAAAACATTGTATCAGAGATGTTTGTGTTTTGTTGTTGCCATGTGCATGACTTTCATAGCTGTACCTTTGGGGACTGGTTAAACATGCTCATATAACATAGAATTAAGGTTTAGTTCATGTAAGGGTATTTCATTTTGCACATTTTTACACCTAGCAGTTAGCAGTCTCTCATACATTATTGTCAACTGAATTTAACAGGAAAGGATCTTTTTATAAGTTCCCAAGCTTCTGACCAAATAAATCTCACCTGAGCTGATCTCTGACCTCTGAGGTCATTGGCTGACAGAAAGACAGACAGAACTTTATTCCAGACCATACTGATCCATTAAATGCTCTCATGCCATAAAACACACTTGCCTACACCAGCTAAAAACATTCACTAGAGCCTGCATGACTCATGAGTCATGTCAAGTCAGGTGACATCCATGTCTGCCCTGGTATACATCATTCCCAGCTTTGACCTGCTTGGCTGGTACCTCAAGTTACTCATGACTCAAGACTCTTGTTTTTTCACTCTCTTTTGGAAAGACACACTAGTTTAAAAAAAAACTTGTAGTATTATTTGTGTGTTACTGAGAAGGGATGAATTTATCCTCAATTATAGCAAAAAGGACACAGCTAAGAAAGTTTCTGCCTGATTGGGCTCTCTTGGTTCTTTAAAAAATTGAAAACCTCTTCTTTACATTGTCTCAAATTTTAGATCCAAGAGGAAGATATTATTGTGATTTGTTTATAAATTACTTTCAATTTCAATTCTAGAGACCATCAGAGAAAAAAATCTCCTTTTCCTCGAGTGATGTCATACATTATCTTTTAATGTTTGTAGTGATAGGAGATTAATTAGTACTCAAGTTTGACTGTGGTGAAGTCTCGCGTCGAAATGTCACAGTTCACGTCGCTTCGTTTAGCTGTTGCCTGTTATCCTGTCGTGTTACCATCTCCACCTCCCCCTCCACCCCCCCCCCCGTACAGCCCGGTGCGCGGCGTCAAGCGCTGGTACCCAGACGTGTGACCCCCCCCCTCCACCCCCTCCCCCTCACAGCCCGGTGCGCGGCGCCAAGCGCTGGTACCCGGACGCCGCGTTCATGAAGCCGTTTGAGGGCACCGTCATCACCACCGGTGCAGAAGACGAGGTGGCCTGGCGCCGGCCCGACTTCAACCGGCACGTCTCGCCGGAGGTGAAGAAGATCCACATGATGCAGCTCAACTTCGGACCGCAGCACCCGGCGGCTCACGGCGTGCTGCGGCTGGTGCTGCAGCTCGAGGGAGAGGTCAGTGGCGGGACGGGAGAGGGAGAGGGCAGCAGGACAGGACACCAGGAGGGAGAGGTCAGTGGCGCTGGAGGGTCGAGGGGGAGAGGTTAGTGGCGCTGTAGATAGAGGGGGCAGAGGCGGTGGAGGGAGAGGTCAGTGAAGACTGGCGGGAGAGGTTGATACAAATCACTCAGTGGGGCTGAAGGGGTGAGTTCAGTAGCACTGAAGAGGTGGATCGGTGTGCATCGATGCTTAGGAGGCTGGGCAAACAAGTGACTAAGCCTTTTATTACTTCTCGGTGAAACGGCTCTGATAGATAAAGATGATTCGGTCGCAGAGTAACATTTTCTGTATACTTGTCAGTGGTCACATAAGAGTTTTGCTCCAAACAAGCAGGCAGTGACCGCGTTTACTCTCACTCGGTTCCGAAGTACGTAATCGAGGTGATGTACATTTCACATCCACAGCCGTGGCCCTATCGCTGACCTCCCTGTCTCCCTCTCCATCAGACCGTACTGCGCGCCGACCCTCACATCGGTCTGCTGCACCGCGGCACAGAGAAGCTCATCGAGTATAAGACGTACACGCAGGCGCTGCCCTACTTCGACCGGCTCGACTACGTCTCGATGATGTGTAACGAGCAGGCCTACTCGCTGGCCGTTGAGAAACTGCTCGGTATCGACGTGCCCGAACGTGCCAAGTGGATCCGCAGTGAGTGGGCGGGGTGGAACATCTGTTTTGGAGAGGCTGTGTTTTGAAAATGAGAGCGTGTGGAATGAATACAAATATTTTCCCGTAATCATTGATAGGTCTGTCGTTCGAATTTTCCATTTTACAGCGGTTACTTCTTGGCGGGTATAATGACGCGTGAGCGCTTTTGTACGCTTCTCATGATACTACACGAACGTTTGGCTTGCCTCGATTGGGTTAATTTCTAGTTCCTACAAACTATATTCGCTTGCAATTTTTATTAACGCTTACAAGCAAGACACTTCATTACTGGGGATATGGACGACGTGCCGTTGCTCGGTTGTCACTGCTAAGCGCTACGTTAACACTCCGCCCCCGCCCCTTCTAGCGATGTTCGCCGAGATCACGCGTCTGCTGAACCACATCATGGGCATCTGCACTCACATCCTTGACATCGGCGCGCTGTCGCCCTTCTTCTGGATGTTCGAGGAGCGCGAGAAGATGATGGAGTTCTACGAACGCGTCTCTGGAGCGCGTATGCACGCGGCCTACATCCGACCGGGCGGTGTGTCGCAGGTAAGGACGGTGGAACGACGGGGTTTTATGCATGGGCGGCTAATATCGTAGGTCCTGGGACGGCTGTATAGGGTCGAGGGATGAGGACATCTGGCCGGTCAATTAGTGGCTCGGAGTGGCTTGGGCTGGTATGGTACCGCTGGACCAAGTGTATAAAGCCTGACGATTCAAGATAAAAAGCTGTATTGCTATTTTGGGATGAGCGTGGTTTTTAATCAGTCAAAGTGGGCGTGCTTCGAGTGGCCCAGGGCGAGCGGGGTGATAGTACCACTCCTCCGTCGTTTGTACTTCTTTTACATTATCTAATTTCCACGCTTTTCATGGGCCTACTCACGCAGCCATACCGACATCAGACTGAGACAATCAATCTGCTCCCACTTCTTTCCTCTGATCTAACGTCCTTCCGTTTCGTCATCAGGACATTCCGATCGGCCTGCTTGACGACATCCACGACTTCCTCTCCAAGTTCAACGAGCGCATCGACGAGCTGGAGGACGTGGTGACCAACAACCGTCTGTGGGTGCAGCGCACCGTCGGTATCGGCACCGTCACCGCCGAGGACGCGCTCAACTGGGGATTCAGGTCAGTCACAGGTCGGGCACCGGGGTCTTGGGGGATGGTTACGGAATGGGTTATGTCACGTGGTCACGAAGTTGATGAGGCCTGGATACGAACAAAAGAATGGATGGAGAAACGGATGCATGTGTGTCTGTGGTGTATGTAAACCTGGACGACCGAATGAATGAATGAATGAATGAATGAATGAATGAATGAATGAATGGATGGATGGATGGATGGATGAATGAATGAATGAATGAACGAGTGAATGAATGAATGAATGATGAATGAATCAATTAATAAATGAATGAATGAATGAATGAATGAATGAATGAATGAATCAATGAATGAAATTTATGGATAAAAAAAAAACGAATATAACGCCTATGAGTCATTGCCAGTAAAACTACGACTGTATGTCAACCGTCCGGGTCTCCCCTCTCGCTCTCGTGCTGACCATCTCGTC